ACAGATGGTGCAGGCTCACGGGAGAGGGCTGGTGTCTGGCTCTGATAGGAACTTTTATTTGGTGGGGGGTCTAATTTTTTTAAGTTCTTTGTATATTCTAGATATAACTCCTCTGTCTGAGGCACAGCTGCCAAATTTCCCCCCATTCTATAGGTTGCCACTTCACTCTGCTGGTTGTTTCCTTTGCTATATGCATCAGTTTTTCATTCCTGCCAACAATCCATGAACATTTTCTTTACATCCTGGCCAATACTTGTAATTTTTGATTTTTAATAATATAACCTTACTCAATGAGAATAACACTTTTATTTTAGCAAAGAATTTGTTTCATAGAAATGAGCACTCATGTGGATCTAATTGTATCTGCCCATCTGTGTCTTCAGTCTTAGTCCTATAGACATCAACATTTAAAGAGCTTTCCAAAATTTGTGCAGATGCTCAGGCCCAACCCAACTCTCACTGTGTGAAAATATCCTGAATATGAGGCAGTGACACTTGGGTGCTTTGGAAGCTCTATTAGTGATTCTAATATGCAGCCTTAATTTTGAAACTTAACTCATTTATGATTGTCCCTGCTCCAGGATGGCCATTCGTTTGTAGAATATTTTCACACAGGCACCATTAAAATTATCTGGGCATGATACACATACATAATCCTGGCCTACTTATATTGGAATTTTATAGTTGAGGTCCAGTAATCTGGTTTTTAACAAGTCCTTAAGGTGATGCTAAAGTTTTAGAGCCACTACTCTTAAGTATAATTCTTAAAGCAGTCATACCATAAACAGGGAACTAGTGTCTTGTGGTAACATCTGCCAGAATTGAACAGAATTTACTGAATTTTATTTTATTGGAAAGGATATTAACTAGGCAGTCAGGGAATCTAAACGCAAGATCTGACCCTGCCAGGTTTTATATTTGTGAACTTGGATGATTTTTTTTTTCTAAGCCATATCATTTCCCCACTTGTATGAAACACACAGTGACACCAGCTTACCTCACGGCATTCTGAGGATTAAATGTCCGTATGTGAAGGAAATATTACGCTGTGATCTGTCGTGGCGTGTCCCGCGGTAAGCTTGAAATCTCTAGCATTTGTAACATAGCAAAAGGGTCATCAGAGTGTTGCTGTCTTTATTTACATTTAGTACTTTGGCCTTCTGCACAGGGTGCACATGGCTGGCTTTGAGGTGTCTCTTCTGCATGCTTCGAATTGCTGTGATGACTCCCAGCAAGGACACAGCCTATTTTGGTCAAGGTGAATACAGTAGCTTTGTAGCCCGAATTGATGCCAGATGTCATAAATTTTGTGGCCCAACAAGATCTTGTTTGTGCCATATGCAACAGAATTAGATTTGCGAAGAAGGGCTGGAAACTTGTGTGAAGAGTTACATAGCAGAAGGGGTTTTGTGTACTACAGCTTGTTATTTTTTCCCTCTGAGTTGTATGGTAGAAAATTTCGCATTTGAGTCATAGAGTTTAGCTCATAATTGCTGCCATGTTTATATATCAAAATATTTTATGTAGCTAACTATAGTTGCTTAAGATTTTGCGTCTGTTTTTAAAAGGCTTTGAAGCTTTGCTCATCAACAGCAAAAAGTAGGTCAGAGGGAAAGAGCTGTAGCATGAATTACAAAATTATAGTGTAAAACTAAAAATGTTGTCTTTCAAAGGTAAAAGACAAAGTCCTGTATTCTGGCTTTGTTTCTGTTTCTTCAGGTGAAAAATTTCAGAACAAATATTAATATATAATGCTAGTCTTCTGAAAGTAAACCCTATTTCACACTGTCTTCAGTGTAAAATCCAGTCTACTTCTGGAAATGGGTGAACTAATGACACTGGCATAGTTTGAAATAAGTTTATTCTTCTTTGTGAAAAAATGACAGACACGATGAGTGAAATATATGATTTAAGTTGTTTTTATAAATTATGGAGATGTTTGGTATCTGTCTGATTACTTTCTGTGTTATGAGCAAGTCACCTGTTTGAGGTATTGGGCATGTAGCATAATGCCCATGTACTAACTCCATAATATATTAGTTTATTTTTAGAAATATGTTAGTTATTGCATAGAATTTAAGAATTGAAAGAACCCTGATGAGGTACGAAGACATTAGCAAAATTTTACTTAACCAACATAGGTTAATTAGTTTCATTTCTAATACTGTTTGTTTTAAGATTAAACTCCATTTTGGAGTGATGTATTGAGAAGGAGCTCAAGAACTTCATTTAAATTATGTGTGCTGTGTTCTCGTTGTAGCTCTGTCCCATAGCTGTATAAACTGGGGCGGCATAATTTATCAGAACTTCAATGTTCTTGTCTGTGAAATTGAGCTAAATAATTATAGTTGCTTCACAATTGTTTTGAGGATTAAAGTAATATAGTGTGAAATGCTTAACACAGTGTATGGCCCATGATATGCATTCAAATATCAGATGCAGCTGTTAATTTTATTAGGATATGGCTGTTATCACTATTGTAACACTAATACATTATGTATAGACAAGAATAAATATTGTTTCTGTGAAACAACAGGATATTATCCACATAAAAAAGTTAGGTGACAACCAGGAAGAAATCATAAAACTTTCTGGCAGTAGATGTACAAAGAAAATTCCAATAGAAACCTAGGAAGCTACAGTTAAAAAACAAACAAAAATCCAACCATCAGACAAAAACATTCCAGAAAAAATAGAGCAAAATTACAAAGCTCTACTAGAAAACAGAACAAAAATTTAAAAGATCAATCTGGAAATCTAAAAGCCAAATGATGGGTGTCCAGAAAGAATGCATGCAAGGAATTTTTAAAGAAATAATTAAAAAAAATTTTTAGAGTTAATAAGTATGAGGTTCCAGATTTAATGGGTTCAGATAGTGTGTATTATAATAACTGAATAAAAGTGATGCCAGGGCACATTGTTGTGAAATTTCAGAGTGCCCAAGGATAAACTTAGATGCTGTTCCAAAAAAAGAAACAACTGGTCGTACACACAGACTGTAGATTCATGATTCACAGTGGAACTTGACCTCTGAATCAAAGGACCTTGGAGTGATGTTTGACATATTATAAAGGAAATTACCAACAAGAATTATAGATTCAGCAAAACTAATAATGAAATATAAGCATAGAATAATGACATTTATAGGCATGTAGGTTAAATTACCAGCCAGTCTCCCTTTTTTCTCAGAAAGCACCTGAGGAATGTGTTCAACCAAAATGAGGAAGGAAAATGAAAAAGAAGTCATGGGATCAGGGAGACAGACATTCATTCCAAGTGGGGAGAGAGTCAAAGAAATTCTAGGTTGAGAGTCAGTAGTGTGCTAGAGAGATCTACAGAGTGAGTCCAGATTAGGGCAGGAATTCAGATGTCTCCCTAATGATTAGCTCAAAGATAAAGGAAAAAACTCTAATTGATGTGTCATGTGATGTTACTATACTGTGAGCTGCTGGAGAGTTTTGTAATACACTCCTGGCTGATGAAGTCATTGACTTCATGAGAAACAGAATGCACAAGAAATGAGACGTGCTTAGATATAATTCTAGAAAACATGTAACTCAGCTGCAAGCAATATTTACCAAATTGTAATAAGCTACATGTAAGTCACTGATTTAGTGAAACTTGTGATGCAACCATATAGATTGAGAGAGGAGAGAGAGAGAAAAATGTGTGTGAGGAGTACAGATGGCTATTGGACTGAGATTACTGAAATATCATCTAGAATAAGAAGTCAACAGATCATGGCTGAAATGGAAAAATTAAGGAATAGTAATATGAGGTGAATCCCAGAAGCATTAATAAAAAAAATTTCAAGATTTGTTTTTGGGGAGTGAGTTTCACGGTGTGAGAGAAGGGGATACTGACTCATTTTTTTAATTTAACATTTGGTAGGATAGTAGGACTTCTGAAATTTTGTGTAAGTATTACTTTTAAAATTAAAATGATTCAGTCTCTTCTGCTTCCTCCATTAAACCCACACATGTATGGAGACCAACTTTAAAACTGTAAAGTACGATGCAGATGTTGTCTGTTTTCTTTTAGCACTCACTGTCTCATCAACCCGACTTTTACTTCGAGTCATTCCTTTCAGAACTGTTTCATTTGTATTAGTTGTGTAGAACTGCTCAGTCTGTGCTTGGTCTCTTAGCTTTCTGGATGATGTGGTACCTTACTATCCTTTCCTTTGTTAATCAGCCTTCCTTCCTTCCTGTGTAAAGTGAGGGGAATAGGCAAGATGATCTCTTATGGCCCTCTTTGATTGCTTTTGATATCTACAATAGAAAAAGAAGATACAATTTGCTGCTGGGTGGGTGGCTCACACCTGTAATCCCATCTACTTGGGAGACTGAGGCAGGAAGCTTGTAGCCTACTCTGGGTAATTTTAGCAAGACCCTGTCTCAGAAACCAAAATGAAAAGGACTTATAGAGCTCAGTGGTACAGTACATGCAGGAGGAGGCTCTGGGTTCAATCCTTAGAACTAAAAAAATAGAACCAATTTATCAATAATGAAGCAAAATTAATAAATTTTCCAATGCAGCTTTCTATTTTATTTTCAACCTATTTATTATAAGGTGTATTTTGTGTTATAAGGTGGATCATGCTGACTAATGCATAGTGTAGAGTTTGTGCAATAGGCCATTATCTTTATCACTTTTTCAATTTGTTTTGCTGTACCTTCCACATTTGTATTTACTTTATGTGATGCAAACTTACTGGAGTTTTCACTGATTTTGTGGATGAATAATGTTTAACCTTGTAACCAAAGTAACTTCAAAATGCTTAATCTGAATATCTTGTTATCTAACAGCTGATTTTGAAATAATGGAAATGAGTTGGGAATACTGTACTGCCATGTAACGGCTGGTTTAATAGCTGAAAAACGAGTGAAGCACAAAGGATCGATTCAGTGCTCACATGAGAGACAACCACAGATTGCCATCTGTACTTTTAAAATAAAAATGCAAACCATATAAAGGCTTACTTTCATTCTCTTCATTAGGGAGCTAACAGAATGAGAGGTCGGCTTGGAAGTGTGGACAGCTTTGAACGGTCTAACAGTGTTGCTTCAGAGAAGGTATCTAATCAAGCTCCCTTTTGTTCTCTGCAAACTGCAACTTAGCAGAACCCCTCACTGATACAGTAATATGCATGCCTAATTTATTGTGAATCCTTTATGGCTTTTAAAAATAAATATTAATAAGAAGAATTTGGGTATTAACATGTTCTTTGTTCAGCTAAGCTTTCCCTCCGGGCTAACTAAGCTCTTTCATGGGTAGACAGGTTGCTGCTTTGAAGGACAGTATTGAGCAGCCATCGGTCCAAATCCATGTAAAGTGAACCACCTGGTTATTATACTGGTGCAGTGATTTTGTTGTCTTTGTTCTTCTCCTTCCATGTTACTTTTCCCCTCGTTTTTTCTCCTATCAATGGCAACATCAGCCTCATTAAGTCCTAGATAACTCTTAGTAGGCTTAGTGTCTTTTTTCCCCATATTGTGCAACATGTAACCTGAGGCTTATACAGTATTTTTTTAAAAGTAGGACAGTATTAAAATGTTTTATTAAACATTCTGTTGATGGATTTGAGAATTAGCGCAGCTATGAGTCTATTTTCCTTAACCCGTGTTTATCAGGCTAAACCTTTTAGTAGTGGTGCCTGTCAGTTTAGGAAAGTATAAACAGCATACCTGACTGGATTGAAAGATTTATGATGTGTGTTCTGTTCCTGCAATAGGACATGCATTCCAGCACAGCTGACTTTTCATTCATTTCCTGTTTTTCATGTGTTTTATGGGAATTTACCTCAGTGAAAGTGTGGTTGGATAGAAACATCCAGAGTGAAGAAAGATCTTTAACAAACTTCACATTATTTTCCTAAAGGCTTTGCCGTGAGACTTGGACGTGCAGGCATTGTGATACTGTTTTGACAGTACAGGAAGCGTGCAATGATTTATCACAGAAGTTAGGAGATACGTAAACAGAGGCTCCGCCTTCTTTGATCTTGGTCCCTTTTCATCTCTCTGGCAACAATGAGAAAAGCAGAGTTGCCTTTGACCACAACGCGTTAGGGGAAAGAATACCTTTTTTATCATTCCTTTCACTTTCTGGCCTATCTTTACGGATGCTGCCTTACAGGCTGCTTATCACAAACATTGGTTGTGGTGAGACTGATTAACCTTCACCATCGATTGAGTAAAAGGAAAAAAAATATGTTTTGTCATGACTCAGGAGGAAGATGAGACGCCCCGTGGCTGTTGACCTCTGAGTTTCGGCAGCTCTGCTGTCACCCTCATAAGGAGGAAAGAAAGACCTCACTTGTGCTTACCTTTCAGGACTACTCACCAGGGGACTCTCCACCAGGGACACCGCCAGCCTCCCCACTGTCCTCAGCATGGCAAGTGTTCCCTGAGGAGGATTCCGACTCCCCGCAGTTTCGCAGACGGGCACATACGTTCAGCCACCCACCATCAAGTTCAAAGAGAAAGCTGAACCTGCAGGACTTGAGGGCCCACGGGGTGCGCTCCCCTCTGCTAAGGCAGAGCTCCAGTGAGCAGTGCAGGTGAGTGCAGATCTCTCTGCAGGGTGTGAGATCAAATTCCTGTGTTATCCCTTGTGGTCACTCTGGAGTACAGGTGGATTGTGACTTCATGCTGTTGCCAGCATTTAGTGTTTAGAAAGATTGTACAAGTAAATTGATTTTCTTTCCTTCAGTGATTGAGGGAAATGGGGCAAGGTTAAGGCACATCCACAAAGGAGTGAATGCATTTGGGATAAAACTTTTTTCTCTCAGAAAAGTAGAAAAAATAAAATATGCAATATTTTTCTGAAAACTTAGTGACAATACATATTACCCAGTTTCAATGATGGCTGCAAAAAAAAGTCAGAGTCAGCAAATTTGAAAATGACAAAGCAGTAGCGCTTCCTGTTAGCTTACAGCAGAGTATCAAGGGTTAAAATATCATCTCAGCTACCTTCGTTTGTGAGGAAATAGACTGTATTTTGTTATTGTGATACGAAATTAAAGCTAGATATGAAAATTGCTACAAATATTACCTAACATAAAGTGCTGTCATTTAAAAGAAGTCTATGTACTGTTGTAGGCAATGCCCATTATAAATGATCATACATAGTTTTTAAAATTGACTATAAAATTGTTTCACATCTGATAAAAAATAATGGAAGAAGTAAGCCTGGAAATGAGGAATGATTACATTTCTTATGTACCGTTCAGAGCAGAATTATATTTTAGAGTTAATCTTGTTTCTCTTTTTTGATACAGAAAACAGGATTAATTAAGTATGCCTGTTGCAGAAAAAAATAAAAACAATTTCAAGTAACAACTTGACTAAAAAGGCTAATTATTACCTTTAAGTGTTATCAGGTCAAGTGTTGTCAGATTTACTAGCATTTTGTTGTTATTGCAGTACTGGGAATCGAACCCAGGAAATTTGTGCAGATCTGCACTTCTATCCCTTTTTAATTTTTAAATTTTGAGTGAAGGCCTCACTAAATTGCCCAGCCTGGGCTCAAACTTGCAGTTCTCTTGACTTGGCTTCCAAACACTGGGACTGCCCAGCTTAGTAGCATGTTTTTAAGGATACAGTTTTATTCTTGTTGTTTTCTACATGATTTGAAATTTTAAAATGAGATATTTATAATATAAAAATATAATGAGTCAACAGAATTAATTGCCCAGATGTGTGAAGGAGATTAAGTACTCATATGCATGCCCTGATTTTTAAAATGATTACCTCAGTTGTGTACATTCAGGGTATTAAATTTCTTTTTTCCAGGAAAAATTATTTTCCAGAATTAAAATATCAATTTTATCAAACTATAGATGCTATTTTAGTTCTTCCTTATGTTTTCTATATTTTTGTAATCTTTAAATTCACGTGGTTTTCTGTCTGTATAAAAAGATGCTATTATGTCATTGTAAAGACTTGCCATATAAAGAATCTTATTTAAAAGAAAGAACTGTGTAGGAGATTTAGGGCGCTGGGTTAATCCATAGTTAAACCACAGTGGCATAATTCCACAAGCTTCAGTGGAAAACACAGATGACGTTAATAAGGGTTAAGCCAAAGATACGGTGTCTTAACAGCTAAACGTGTTCTTTAATATTTAAAAGGGTTTATACCTCTGAAGTAGTTAAAGTCTTTGAACTTCTCATCATGCTTTCCTTCTAGAACTTACTTGTTTCTTATAATTGTTTGTGCTTTTTACTTTTTTCCCTTAAGATGTTTTTTACATGTAAAAACACACACTCTTTGTCTGAAGATTATGAAGAACTTTTTTGGAGATGAAAACAGATACTTTGTAGATGAGGAATTCAGTTAGTAAGAGTGTAACTCGGGCAGTCAACCACATTGACAACTGCATGCCTCTCTTTTCCTTGTAAGATTCATCATTTAGCCGCTGAAACAAAGGTTAAATTAATAGCAGGAATGTGTTATATGCTTTTTCATAGTGAATGAAGATGTTGCCAAAATATAAATTGAGACAAATTTGCTGTATTTTCTGTACTCAGCCTCCTTCCATCAGTTCGACGCATGCACAAGGAGTATAATTCTTCCTCCAGTCTTCCAAGCCTCCACACTTCCTCCTCTGTCCCTTCCTTCTCTGCCCCTTCTTTCCTGAAAAGCTTTTACCAGAATTCAGGTAGACTGTCCCCACAGTATGAACATGAAATCAGGTGAGATCAGTGTCCTCTGTTTGCAAAGCCAAATTTTCTGCAGTGATATGCTAATAAGTTACTAAAAAGTGGCTGATTGATTTTGGAGTGATATCTATGCATCCTTCTGTGTGCTTGTTCTAACCTGTTTCTAATATAGTGATTTCAATTCCAATTAATTTTATTAAGAGAACTATAACCCAGTAGTTTCAAAGCTGTTGATGAGTTGACTATCTTTTTATGTTTTTCATATTATTTGTGTTTCTTTAACTCACATTCCAGAGTCTAAACTTTGTGTTGTTTGGAACAAGACCTGATGTTAACACATATTTAGCAAACCTTCTCCGACCGTGCTTTTTTTTTCTTAGCCTCTCTGGGTGTGTTTTAGGGAGTGCCAAAAGCACTGATAGGTCCAATACATAGATATATAGAGTGTGACCTAGGCATAGGCATGGCTTTTATTTTTCATGACAGACTTCTGAGTCTGGATATAGGATCGTGTTGACAAGAACCCTTCACACAGCATGATGGAATTTGTTTTATTTCTATGCAAAAGCCTGTTAAATCTTGCTTGTTCTTTTATCTACACAAAATTTGCTGTGACTTTTGGAGAATTTCTTCTTTTTTTATCTGAAATTATATCAAAGTTTTATCAATCATTCATATTTTTAGTGGAGTGCTGACAGCCTGTGAAAAGTGGTGTACTCATTTGGAACCCTTCTAAATGGGTAATTGTTGGCTCAAGTGTCTGCGACATTTGTTCTTCTTTGCTATCTAGGTGCCTCATTTTATTGCTGTGTAGTGTCCCATTTAATACACCACATTTTATCCATTCTTGCTGACGAACATTTGGGTTACTTCTAATTGTTTGATAACTGGCAATTCTTGTAGTCAGGGAGCAGAAAATATGCTTTCAGCCAACCTGTGTGCCACCAAAATCTTGAGTTAACTTTTGGCTTGTTTTCTTTTAAACTTAGGAAATTCTAAAAATTAGCATGTTACTAGAGAGTCCTCATTAATTGCTCAAATTAGATTAATCCTTAAGTTACTTTGAAGTATTTTTTTCCATGTGTGTCTATTTTCACTCTAAGATTGTTAATATTGGATTAATATAATTATGCCTCTGAACTTTGCTTTGGATTAGTACACAGTTATGTTGGAGCACTGAATCTGATTTCTGGTAAAGATAGTAGAGAACTTATTTTTCAGAAATAACATTGTAGGAGCAATATTTAAAAAGTTAACTGCAAAAGTGTTATAATATATATGGAATATGCCATGAATTTAGAGAATAAAGTATGTATATACTTAAAAATATCACTTTGCCTTATTGCTATAAATACTGCCTGTTAATAAGAATAGAGCATTTTCAATCAAACCTGTTTGCAGTTTCTTATTGTTGTATTTAAAGTGAGCAAGGGGGGAATTCTAGTTTCCTTCCTGAAGTAGAAGTATGTCTGAAAAGTGACAATCAGAAATAGCCAGTAGGAAGGTCAAAGGCTGGCTAAGAGTAGGAGGAGGTGGAGTATAAAAGAAGTGACTTTTGAAAAGAGATTACATATATTGTTTAGTATAGATTATTCATTTATGTTTAGGAATTCCTGCTTAGATGTATGTATTATCCTTCCCAGTGGTTTTCCATAATCCGCAATACCTCATCTTAACAAAAATATTGAAGTGAAATGGTAAATGTATACTAGTTTTGGATGAAAAACTTCATCTTTTGGTGGTTATGTTATCTGAAGCGATATATTTAAACATGCAGGGTCACTTTAAGTTCCTTTAAATGTTTTCTTGGTTGTGAGAAATTCTCAGAATCGAAGTCTTTTTGTTGTGCATTTTTGTTTTTACTTTTTTAGCACAGAATTAATAGGCCAGAAATACACTTCGGCGGCGGGGCGGGGGGGGGGGACCTCTTTCGTTAAAAAGTACACCAATCGTAAGCACATAGCTTGGTGGGTGATCAGAGAGGGTCCACTGTGTCACTGCTGCTCAGTGAACTGAAGGTGACCAGCAGTCCGTAGAAGCTCTCATTTTCCCACCCATAATTGCCCGGCTGACCTTTCATTATCATCAATTAGTTTTGCACTTTATATAGAAATGGGAGGGTTAAAACATCTGTTCTTTTGTGTCTGGCTGCTTTCCCCGATGTTAGTTTATGAGGTTTATTCTGGTTTTGTTTGTACTTTAGTTTATTGCTCTAATGCTACTTAATATATCACAGTTTATCCAGGCACTTAGGCATGGACATGTGGTTGTTTTTGAAGGCACTTCTGTCTTATTGTACATTTTGTTAGCTGCACGTACCTATACATTGATGTATAGCTACACAGCTGTAAAAGTTTTGAACAAAATATACTAATTATGTTAATTAGTGAATCATTTATGTTTATATTTACTCGTTACAATCTTGGTGAGACTGGTTTTTTATTTGTACTTTGAAATAATTTCAGATTTATAGGAAAGTTATAAAAATATTACAGAGGATTCCTTTTAATCCTTTATCTAGATTAATCATTTTTTTACATTTTGCTACATTTACTCTATCGTTTTTGGTCCACCTACTTATTTATATGGTCATAGATGTATATATATGAAATGTGATCAAATATACAATGAATATTTAAATAAAAAATTTTTACAGTAAAGATGCATTGTCATTAACCCCCCTGGGTCTTTTCTCCCTCACTTTGAACACACTTATCCCACTATTCTTGCGACTGGATTTCTTGTCATGTTTCATGTCTTGAATAGACATGTTGAAAAAAATTACAGTGAATGCTGCTGCCCAGAGCTGTCCAATAGAAAGGCAGGCTCATAAAAACATTAATGATTATCTTTGTACATGGTTCTGGCTCTTTGTGCCAAGTCAAAGTGACTGTGAAAGTAAACATCTTGAATTGATTCATAACATTGAGGCAGCCATGACAGTACAACTAATGACACGCAAGAAGGAGGATTTCCAGAACTGCTTCATAAAGTGGCAAGGATGATGGGAAAAGTGTGTTCAAAGAGGGAGTATTTTGAGGGTTATTAATGGCAATGTGTGTCTCATTGTAATATATTCTTTTTTAAACTTTTACCATGTTTTGATAATATACCATATGTATTTGTTTATATATAAAGATCTTCAATTAGACCATATATAAATAAGTTGAATACCTCATATCCTTTATTCTTGATATTTTAGGTTATATTTGCTTAGAATAAAAATTATTCAAGAGTGTGGTTTTAATCCAGTTGATTTTGAACTCTATATCTCTCATTTCCAGTTGTTTTTAGAGTGAACAATTTGTGCAGATAATTACATGATATCTGGAACTATTTGGAATAATGATGGAAGGAAATTTCTAATATTACCAACTATAATTGTCTTTTCACTTGGGTGTCTATATCTTATTAGTTGCATGAAATGAATCTCTAAGTAGACATAGTCAAGTAGGGAATAGAATAGGAAAGGGTACAAGCTAATAATACTACCACTTTTTAAAATATATTAATTTGAAATTTATGTTAAGCCTCCTTCTCCAAGAGTACTATTCTGAGTATTAAAAACATGGTAGAGTACTGTTTTTAGGCATGCTCAGAAAAAGGAGCAAAGATTTTTTTTGTTACCAGTTGGTTGGCTAGTGGATTCACTTACAGAGTTGAAGTGCTAAGAGAAGCAAAAATTGTCTCTTTTGTTTTATCTTATTTTGAATTGTTTTAAAAATTTAACATTATTTCATTGTTTAGTATTTAAAACAATTCTGTATGATAATGTATTTTGTAACATCCATTTATCAAATGTAATGTTTCTTTTCTAGCAATAATTATCTTTATACCCCTTAAAGCTGCTTCTCAGTTTCAAGCTTATATTTAAACAACATCTGCATTAAATTACAAAATTGATCAAAAGAAAATACTGGTTTTTAAAAATTGGTACTCACCATTTATAGAACTTCTTAATGAGAAAAATAAGATTTTTCCTGATAAACTATTTTTATGGTTTTGGTTTGATAGTCTTCTTATATTTATTGATTAAAAACAGTATACTTATTATGATAGCTCATGGTTGAAGCAACCTTATTTGTAAATTACTGGTGACTTGCAGAAAAAGCTTTTTATTCTAAATCCTGATTTTGGGCTGTTTGTGCTAATGCAATTCTTTGTTTTTCTATTATACTAGACAGGACACTGCTTCAGAATCAAGGTGATTTGAGATCTAAATATTTTCATGTAAAAAAATCTCAGGTTCTTTTACTCACAATGCATTTAGACTGTCTCCTGAATGCATGCTGTCATCTTGCATGCTCTGAGGTCCTCCCAGAGGGAAATATTATCCTTTATATAAACAGAGATTACAAGTAGCCATATAAAATGTTAATTGCAAACACCATGTTTCTACTCTATTCCTCTTTGAAATTTCTTTGCAGCTGCGATATGCTCTTCAATTAAAACCCAATTTTGATTTTAAATTAATAAAAATTGAGTTTGCTAGTTGAGAGATACAAAATATGCTCATATGAAGAGTTTCTTCCAAATCTCAAAAAGATACAGAAAGGAACATCTTAAAACATAGAGTAGAGTCTGTTTTTCACTCAATGAGGGGAGTATTAACCTGTTTTAGTTCATTTTAATTCCCATCACATTGGTCACTTTGAGACACTGCTAAAGCCTTGAAGATGTCACAGTGGTCTGGATGCAAGAAAACACCTAGTTTCTTCCTGTGGAAGACTCTATAGGTTCCTGTGGAACCTATAGAACAAAAGTTACACCACTGCCTCATGACTTAGGTGCTTTCTGTGGAAAACATTTAGAGTGGCTGCTGAACAATTTAAATGTGAACATCTACTCCCAGCTTTGTTCCAGTTCCTACACTTCGCTTGTCTCACAAGCTCCCATGAGAAGTATACATACTAACCTTCCTATTTGAGTCTACTAATATTTAAATTTTAATAGCTGCAGTAAAAACATAGTATAAAGGTTCAATTTGGGTGAGCTATACAAGAAGAAAAAAATTCTAAGAAAACTGTTTCGGCCATATTGCTAAGATAAATGTAGCTTTTTTTGAGACCTATAGTTGACCTGTACTTTTTGTGGGGGTGGAGGGATGTATGACCATGAAAAGAAAACTTTTGTCTAGTTTTAAAAGTCCAGTAGAAATGTTTGTTTTGCTTGGTCTGCTTTGTGCTTCTCCCTTAGGCTAGAGTTAACATTGTTTATTACTTTTTGGATTGTCTAGACTTTAGATGGGATTAGAATTAGATTCAGCCTCAGAGAGGTTTTACATTTTGCTTGGTATCATTTTATCGTAGGCTATAAGAATGTCAATAAACATGAGCTACCTACAGATATTTTAAATTCCGATGTACAAAGCATTTTTAAAGTATCTACATTCAATGTGTAGAGTTTAGGAAATAATTTTTTTTTCTCCTTGTTCTTTTTTTCCTACACATTGTTCCACTGACTAATCAATCTCTTTTGACTCACATGTCAGGTGTTTTATATGAGAATAGGTCAATCTCAGGTTTATTTAATTAGTAGAGATTTTCCATAGAATGAAAGATGTGTGCCCAGTGGAAAGCTAGAACCTATATAAAGTATCAGTGCCCTTGTTGCAGTTTTGAGTTAAATTGTACTGTGGAACCTATAGAACAAAAGTTAAATTTCATTAGTATGTTGTTTCATGCAGGCTTTCTTCAGGCATTTTATAGAGCAAAACCCTTTTCAGCTTTCTATTAAATAGTTACTATCACTTTAATCAGGTTTTGTTATTTATCTTCAGTTTTAATACATTGTGATTTAGATACAGATGTTGCCAGTGTGTAGTCATTTATTTGGACTTTAGGATGCTCATAATTTTAGTTTGTTGCTAGGGAGTGGGAGGAGGCTGGGAGGCAGTATATTGCTCAGTAGAATATATTTGTAAAACTGGCAGAGGAGTTTACTTTGGGAGAATGTAGATATGTTAAGGGGAAAGTGGTCATTAGAAGATCATTTTTGTATAGTAGCCAGTGAATGAATGCTTACTAAAGTAGGCAAATGGACATTAAGAAGTTTTTGTTCACATAGTAACTATAACGTTAATTTAGTAGTTAATGTGATATTGTTTAAGGAAATATTTAGAGTTATTTTGAAGCTTTAGAGGGGGTTCCTATTGTATCTATAATTTTTGATCAATGCTGTGTGGAGAGTATTTGGAAACTGCCTTCTCAGCCTACATGGTGTTATACATAACATGAGATATTTTCCCCTTTTATAAGCCAACATTTGTGTTTATGGATTGTGGTTCTTTATTAGTTGGCAGAACGTATAAAATAAAGCAACACAAAAGTGTGAGTTATGTTTCCTTCCTAGTTATTTGCTTTTAATTTTATAAATTTCGAATAGAAGAAATGCTAGCATAGTAATTTTCTTGAATATGCCTGTTAAGAAGCAGTTTGATAATTTATCTTCATATTCTAAAATACTAAAGGAGGCAGAAGATTATATGGAGAGTAGCTAGAACTTGTTACTTTGAAATGTAAAGATGATCATAATACCTACATACATAATATATGTATATATTCCACATTAAAGTGTCTTTTATTTAGTACTTCCATTTAAAATGAATATCTAGGCTCAGGGAGTGTCCTGGGAGGAGGTGGCTAAGATAAGCATGGTGCAGTGCCTGGCATGGCTGTGTGTTCTCGGCCTGAGGAGGCTATTGCATACTGAGATGGCCAGGCAGGAAGACCAGGCTGTAAAGAACTATACCTTGGACGACATTAAGAAGCACAGAGACAGCAAAAGCACCTGAGTGATCCTGCACCACAAGCTGTATGATTTGACCCGTTTCCTGGAAGAGCATCCTGGTGGGAAAGAAATCTTAAGAGAACAAGATGGGGGTGATGCTACGGAAAATTTTGAAGATGTTGATGATTCTACTGATGCTGGAAAACTGTTTAAAGCATATGTCATTGGAGAGGTCCACCTTGATGACAGATCAAAGTTAGCCAAGCCTTTGGAGACTCTTAGTACTACTGTTGAGTCTTAATTACAGTTGGTGGACCGATTGGGTGATCCAGTCATCTCAGCTATGGCGTTGCCATGATATATTGTTTCAACAGAGCAGAAGACTGACTGCCTCTCAGAAGACAAGGAGAGCAAAGACTGCCTTGGACAAAGAAGAAAAGAAGCCAGTGTTGATCACTTCCACTGACAGAAACTTTCACCTGAAAAAATAATTTTCATATGTCTTTTTTTCTCTTCTGTATTAGGAAGAAAAGAACAATTCTTTCTACTCCTTCTAAATGTTTCAGATGTGCCTTATTTGATGTTGTTTCTTCACTACATTATTTACTTGTTATGTGACCTTTTAAAATATATCTGGCTTTTAAAATAAAACTTAAAAACATGTGCTTAGCGGCATAAGCTCCTGCCTTGCAAGCACGGGGTCGTGAGTTTGATCCTTAGTACCAAAAAAAGAGACAAAAACACGGAAGCCAATCTAGCCCCTACACACATGCAGTGCACCACTGGGACTCTCCTGCAGGTAACCAGCAGGGGCCAGGAGAGGCAACCAGCCCAGCTCCCATGCTCATGCAGGCTGACATTTGGACTCTCCTGAAGGTAGCCAGAGCAGGCAGGGAGAAGAAACAATCAGCCCTTCCCCTAAAAGTCTGCCAGCCACCATTGCCTGTAGGAACCCGTGGACAGTGCAGGCTGGGAGAGCAGCCAGCCATGCCTTGAAGAAGCCACCAGTGTCTAGAGAAGCCTACCTGACACTCTGCCACCTCCCTAGGACCCTGGGTTAGGGGAAACCTGGGTGCCTGACCCATCCCATACAACATGGATGGGTAGCCAACATGGGAAGTGCCTGGGACCCCACAACCCACTCATCTGGAGGAACCCAGGAAAATGTTGAGACAAAGGAGCAAAACAGAATAAGTCAAGGAGACATGGACATGGAAGTAACATATCTGAAATTTCTGGGATGATGGCAACTGAAGTAAAGAAACTACTTCATGAGGTTGTAAAAGAAATAAGATCAGAAATAATGTCTCAGGTACAGGAAGAAACAACAAACATAATGAAAGGCTTACTGAGTATATCTAAAGAAGACATAGAGAAGAAAAACGAGCAAAGGAGAATGAGCAAAACTTTGAATAAACAATATAGAGAAGAATTGTAACAGGCTCAAAGAGGCATGAAACAGACTCAAAGAGGTATCCAGGACATTAAAAATTCAATTGAAAGCTGACAAAATTGCTTGAAAGAAACTGAAGATAGACTTTCAGACCTTGAAGACAAGATGGCTGCTAGTGATCATGAAAGGAAAGATCTCTTAAAAACAACAAAGAACCAGGAAATAACTATTCAACAGCTGCAAGGCAATGCAAAGAAAAATAATTGCAGAGTGATAGATGTCAGTGAAAAAGCAGGAGTCAACACGAGTGACATTAAGAGACTATTTACAGAATAGCAGAGCACTTCCCAAACAGAAGAAAAGAACATACAGATAAGTGAGGCATATAGAAATCCAACTAGCCATAACCAAAATAAGTCTATACCCAGACATATTATAATCAAGATCCCAGAAATTCATCATAAGAACAGAATATTAAGGGTTGTTAGAGAAAAGAAACAAGATCTCATATAATGCTAAAGCCATTAGAATCACAATAAGCTTCTCAAGGCAAACCATCAAGTCAAGAAGAGGTTGAAGTATTTCAAGTCCTGAAAGAAAACAATTTCCAACCCAGATGTTCCCTGCAAAGCTGCAAATTAATGGAAGAATAGGATACTTCCATGACAAAGAACAACTGAAAGAATTTGTGACCACCAACCCAACCCAACAAAGAGTACTGAAGGATATTCTAGGGAGACATAAACATGACCGTGGTTCCAAGAACAGCAGCGAAGTGGGATCACTGAGTGAGGCAGACAGCTGAATAGATGGGAAAAGTAGAAAGCCAATGGCAGGAAAAAAGCATGAAAAGAGATGAACCAGTACACGTTGGCTATAGTTATTAATGTAGATGGCCTCAATTCACCAATAAAAAGAAACACAGATGGAGTAGTAGATCAAGAAACACGATCCATCAATATGTGGTATACAAGAAACACATCTAACTTAAAAGGAAGTTCATAAATTGAAAGTCAAAGGAGAGAAAACAGTTGTTCCATGCAACAGGGAATCGGAATAAAGCAGGGTTCTCTCCATCTGCCATAGAATGGATAAGAAAGGTAGAATTTTATACAATGAAAAGCTACTTGGCTATAAAAAAGGATAACCACAAGGCTGTTGTAGGTAAATGGATGCAGCCTTTGGATGAAATGGTTTGGGCTCATATAGGTGAGCAACATGTCGTCTCCTTAGTATAAAATAGTGAAGGAGTTAGTGGGATCCAAAATGTGCAGTACAGATTATGAAAGTGAAAGGGGAGGAAACATCTAAAAAGGGAAGGTGGTAGCCATTGTTAATTCCCTATTATTTTATTTTAAAGTCCCATATCATTTTTATTACTTTGTTTTGATTGGTTTTATTCTGTTTTGTTTGGTTTGATTTTATTATATCTGACAGTATGGGCAGCTATTTCAAAGATAACAAGATATATTATGGTAGCCATTATTGATTCCCTAATACCTTGTTTTGAAGTTCTGTGTCACTTTCACTTTTTTGATTAGTTTTCTGTTTTGATTTATTTTATTTTATTATGTCTGATGGTATGGACAGCTATTTTGAAGATAACAAGAGGTGTTAATGTAGCCATTGTTGATTTCCTGTTATCTTGTTTTGAAGGCCTGTATCACTTGCACTGTTTTGTTTTGATTGACTCTATTCTGTTTTATTTTGTTTGGTTTTATTCTCTTAAAAATAAAAAAAGTGAATATCTGTATTTTAAATTGCATTTATTTCATAGCAAACAACAAAAGTGAGACATTTACGTAAAGAAAACCCCTCATGGTGCTTGAGCTTATTTGCTGCTAAATTAACTTATTCCATTAAAAATAGAAAGAAAAATATTCAACCAAAAGACTTAATCATAACTGGAGTCTGAATTTTCTGCCAACATACAGAGAATCCTAGGACTCATGCCAGCTTTGGTTTTAGGATCTTACTGATCTCGTAAGAACTAATGCAGAGTATTTACATTAAAACAATAAAACAGTGCCTAAGTGTCTGGATTCTGGACTTCCTGGGCTGAGTCTTGCCTCCTTTACTTACTATTTTTGTGATTATTTGTAAATTACTTAGCCTTCTTCTACCTCAATTTTCTTACTTAAAATGGAAGTAATATTAACACCTACTCTGTATGCTTGCTGTGAGGATGAAATTAATTTATACTTGTAAAATGTTTAGAACAATGCCTGCAGGGTAGTATGTGCTTTTAATGAGCCTTAGCATTATTATTACAGTGTACAGCATATGTTGTTTTGTTTTCACTCAGAAAGTAGGCATTACCCTTGGTCATGTATTAAATTTATGAAAAGGGAAGTTAAAGTGAAAACTAATGCAGAAAAAAACCCCAGAAATAAAACCAAGAGCCCTATTGCCCCCATATTGGGTAGTGTCCAAGTTGGGATGTAGGAATTTCAGTGTACAGTGTTTCATAAAGGCTTGGTTCTTGAAATTACCACCTTAAAAGCTTCAGATTGCTGGCTGACTGTCTGGAAAACACTGAATTGCTGTCAGGTTGCAGGGTCAGGAACTCAGCTTCTGAATTCTTATCTTCTCATATTCAATGAAGTAATATCACCTTATCTCAGCAACTAAACTTTTGCACAAGGTAGTTTCTTAGTACAAGATAAAGGGTCGTCGGTCTATAATGCAAGTTCTTCCTTTTGGTATATTACTCTTATATTTTGACTGCTGAATTTTGGCCATTAAATTACATGTATGTGGAGGAAAAATCTATCCCTTGACAGTTTATTCAGCTCACAGAGTTTAAATATAGATGTAATGAATTTTTAAAATATGCAATAGTGGACTAATAGCAGGATATTTTCTGCATTTGTTGTTTTTAACATTTTCCCCCATATCTTACATAGTACAGGCAATCATGAAACTGCTATGGGTATTGCTTGGTTATTTTTAGTATTTCCTAAACTCTTCATATGCCATTAACAGTGAATTAGAAGGTGATATTTTAAAAAGATATTTTAATTCCAGCATTAAAATATGAGCAGTTCAGAGTCTTTTGATTTGCTTTGTTTATTAGAACTGTTAGGGCTGGGGATTTAGCTCAGCTGCTCAAGTGCTTGCCTGGCAAGCATGAGGTCCGGAGTTCAATTCCTGGTACCAAACAAAAGAACTGTTAAAAGTGTAAGGAGAAACTAATACTTGTTAAATATTTACCCTGTAAGTTGCTTTAGTATATGTATTTCATTTAGCTTGCAAGGCATAAATTAAAAGTTAGATACTGTCCTATAAGGCAGGAATGACACTTACTAGGAAAAAGATGCTTTTTGTTGTTGGTTAGCAGTATTGCCATTGTGGATGTCTACCACTGCCACTGGCAGCTCAGTACTTTGAGGAAACAGAGATTCTAGAACTTTGTGCCAGGTGTGACTCCCTATAAAGGATTTGGAAGCGGGTTTATTTGTTCCTAGTATGTTCCTACAGCCAATAGTTTCTGTCCATTTTACTTAATCTTCTGAGTTAATATTTCATGTGGTTTCATAAAGTATTAATTTATTCTGTGATTTTTTTTTCCTATTACTGGTACTATACAGAAGGTACACTATAATACTACATAGTGCTACAGTCTACTCCTGATCTGATGTTTAGCAAATAGTTCCAGTGAGATAGTGTGAAAATGGAAATACAAAATATTCCAGGAGTATTTATCAAGATATAACTTCTAGATAGAGAATACTTAAATCACAGATACTTAAAGAAAATACTTGAATCATTGCTTTCAAAGTAGACATCAAGGCATATGTTCTTTTCTTAACCTTAATTTAGCTAATCCAGAAGTGGTATTCCTTGTGCAATAGATCTAGACTAACTACGATAGTCAAAAGTATGGAAATATAATAAATAAAAATGTAACAGGCTGGTGGTATTGAATTGCTCCTTCATATTAATTATCTCAGCCCTATTGAGTTCTGCCAAGTGTCTGAGAGCCTTGTGGCCTTTCTAGCTGAGTTTCATTTCTGACCTAAGTTAGTGAACTTCTTGATTTCATCAGACATCTTACATCTTCCCTTGTGGTTATTATCAGAAGTGAATATGTACTGAAATTTTCACCATTCTCTTAGGAAAGCTCACAAACTGTGAAATTTGAAAACACAAAATATTCCTATCACTAAGACCAACAGTTATTGTATGTTCTGTTACCAGCAGACAGCCTGAGTCTCAAAGTAGCTTTGAGTCCACTTTCTGTTACTGTGACAAAATATCTGAGAATATCAACTTAAGGAAAGACAGATTTATTTTGACTGACTCTTTCAGAGGCTTCAGTTCATGGTCACATGCCTTCCTTGCTTCTAGACCTATATTGAAGCAGAAATATCACGACAAAGGACATGGTAGAGGAAAATTGCTCACTTAACTGCAGTCAGGAAGCAGAGACAGAGGGAAAGACCCAATGAAGAATGGGCCATGGGTCAGATATAGTCCCCAAGGTTATGCTTTATGATCCAATCCCTTTAACTAGGCCTCACTTCCTAAATTCCATTACCTACCAATAATTCTACCAAGCTATGATCTCTTCAGTATGTTAATCTGTGAATGAAGTTAGAACCATCATGATCCAATCACCCTTTGAAAACTCTACCTTGAAACATGTGGGACTCTGTGGACATTTTAAATCTAAACCATCCTAGTCATGATGACCTTTTGTTGCTCATGGGCCTAGCATTATTTAGAATGGTTTTTCTTGGGAAATAAGATTCTTAGAACAGACCAGTATTTTCACATATGAGTTTTACAAAGCACTAAAGATGAATCGGTGTGGTATCCCCTATTCCCTGAAAAACAGTGGGAGTAATGAGAGTAGAGTCAACCATGTTGACTTCTTTTATGTTAACTGAGTTGGAGAGTTTCTGTACAGTATTTCCCTGATGGAGACTCACAATACAGGCTGGCATTAAGCAGTCTTTAAGAAGTTCTGCTGTAAAGAATTCTGGTTAATACTTTTTAAAGTTTAGCTTATACTGTCCGCTCCCTCCGCCCCCAGTATCCCTAACAATAACCCTAGGGTTGACCCTTGTGCTTATTTTCAGGGTTTTGTTTTTATTTTTATTTTTTGGCCATGATCCAGCTACTAATAGCTAACAATTATAGTCAGATCCTAACAATCACAGACAGAATCTGTCTTTACCAGATTAGTCTATGCTAGCTGGAAGACAAGCTCTTTTTGGTCATTTTGTGGGCTATGTACAGTGTTTAGAATAAACTATAATAATACACCTTTGGCACAGTACAAGTTCATTACTTAAGTGACCTCTACTCCTCAGTGTAAGCACCTCTGTTCTTCAGATTAGAACCAGGACTGCTTAAGGAATGAGTAGAAACAGGTGAGCTTTCCAAGACTGGGCTTGTGGCCTGACTGCAGTTTTCCCAGGATGCGATGGCCTGGGGGACCATCGTGCTAGAGTCACATTGCTCTGTGCCGCCTGTGCCTCGTGCTTGCCTGTGGCAGAACTTGTGAATGGCTTGTGTGCTGCCATTAGGTTGTGAAGTGCTATGTTACACAATTTTCCTTACAAATGAAATATTTGTTGGCATTCTGCAGCGATGGAGAAGGGCGGAAACGGACCTCGTCCACCTGTAGCAACGAGTCCCTAAATGCCGGGGGAACACCTGTCACTCCTCGCAGAATCTCCTGGCGGCAGCGCATCTTCCTGCGGGTTGCATCTCCCATGAATAAGTCTCCCTCAGCAATGCAGCACCAAGGTCTGTGCAGGAACCACTAAAGAATTTCTCCTGCTGGTGTCCTAAGTTATGGCATGGAATAGAAACTGTTGACTCAAGAGATTTAAGAGATTAGACAGGAAACATAACTTCTCTTTCTGTGTCTGATGTGGTTGGTTTTCTTCTCAGGTATCATTAGAACAGACTAGATATTCAGTACCTTAGTAACTGCTTGTTGAATGAATAAATGAATGAATTTCCAAAACCTATTTTTGGGCCTATTTCATAATGCATAAGGAACTGTGTAGTACTAGAAAAAATTCATAGATTTTTTTCACTATTAGAGAAGCAATACAGAATACAATCTTTTGCAAAAGTTACAAATAAAACAAAGTGACATAAATATGTTGAACAATAAAAGTTAGATATATTACGCTCAGTAAATATCGGTCAAAAGCGAGAACATGGCAGCTGTCTTCAAAAATTAAGCCTATTAGAAATTAGAACAAAAACATCCAAAGTGATACCTATAACATAAAGATATTATAGTAATGAGAACATGCAATATTATATATCCTTGAGAGCTAGAAAATGATAGATACTTACAAAGACTTTGAAGGTGAAAACCAGTGTTCTCGTGGGAGTTTTTAACCATTCCTTTCTGAAAATTATATATAGGAAAATTAAATACTGTATAAATAAATATTTGAGTAGCACAATGGAACAAGCTTGATCTAATATTTATGAAGAACTTTTCCTTTGAAGACAAAATTCATCCATTTGTAGAGTATATAAAACATTCATAAAATTAATTATGTACTTGGCCAAAAGATATTTTACTATACTCCACACAGTCATGATTATGTCTGCTATATTCTTTGATCACAGTTGGGGAAAAAAAAGGAAGGGTATAAAGGAGAGAGGAAGGAAGGGTTAAGAGATAACCGGGGTTCTGGGTGTAGGTGTAGCTCAGTGGTGGAGTGCTTACATAGTCAACACAAGGCGCTGGGTTTGATCCCTGGCACAACTGTAAAGCATAAGAAAAAGCTGCTGAAAACACTGGTGTTTTTTCAAAATTTTCTTACTGCTAGAAACTAGAAAAATAAAACATGATCCATATGCTGCACATCACGCCTGCATGGTACTTATGGGACATTTCATAGCCATGAAATGTATTCATCTAAAATTAAAACAGTCAAAAACTGGGTGTGCTCAGTGTCCACTCAAGCTAGAAAAAGACAATAAAAAGGAATGCGACTGTCATTACTAAAGATAAAATTAACTCTGTCTAGGATAGTCAGAGATTACATCACATAAAAAAATAAATGCTTAAGCTCATCACAGAAGAAACACACCTTAGCAGTGTTTCAGAGTCATGTGAGAGCACTTTGTGGGCCACCTAATGTGGAGAATGAGACAGGAGACTGGTCAGGGCCGTGAGGCCAGAGTGGGCAGCTATCTGTGCTGTTCCCCGGGGCCTGCACTTTGGGCTCTGGGCTGGAAGCAGTCACTGAGATGTTTTAAGAGATATGATCATGTTTATTAATAGGAAAATAATTGGAGGTATGTGAAAAATGGCCCAGAATGGAGAAGAATGAACTCCAGATCAGTTAAGAAGACTTTGCAGGGGAGGGAGCAAAGGCATTTGATGCTCAGCCAGGAAAGGCCCAGCATTTCTCAGCTGCCCTTCTGATGACTCTGATGGTAGATGTGACCCTAGGGAAATCACAAATACTGTACCTACCCGTGAAGTCCTGCTTTGCACAGTCAGAGAAGACACAAAGATGAATTGCAGAAGTGTTGGAAAGGCCAGTTCATTTTGGAACAGCCCTCTTCTAGGTCGTTTTGTGTAGAAAGAAGAAGTGGTGAGATGACATATGCTTTTGTTTCGCTGTAAGAGGGAAATCTAGAAGGGGAATTCAGTCTAGTGAATTTATTTAAATGTACTAGTCCCGGAAACTAATAGTTACTGGAAAAGTGCCTTTGTAAACACCTTTAAATGTAGAAGACGAGAGAGTGTTGATTCCAGTGAAAACCTCTGTAGTCTGGGTTACTACTGAGGAATGCCTCTTACGATTTTCTTCTCTGCAGATGGACTGGACAGCAATGAGCTTTTGCCACTGTCCCCTCTGGCTCCCACCATGGAGGAGGAACCGCTGGTTATATTCTTGTCTAGTGATGATGACTCAGAAAAAGTTGAAGAAAAAAAGAAATCAAAAGAACTAAAGAGTTTGTGGAAAAAAGCAATACATCAACAAATCTTGTTGCTTCGAATGGAAAAAGAAAACCAGAAACTTGAAGGTTAGCTATCAAACAAGGTTGGATGCTACATTTGTACTTACACTTTTTCTTTGACTGTATGTATGCTTTAACCAGAATATCTGTGGGTTGCAATTATTTATTTTCATTTTGTAAAATGATTATGGGGTGGAAAAGACCAGTTTAATCTGTGCATTTTCTTTTTCAACTAATCATAAAAAAAAATCTGTCATCAAATCAAAATTTCTATTTTTTGTCAGTGATTATAAATTTTCTATTTAGTAAAAAGTGAAAATTTATACAATCTGAAGAGAAACCAGAGTATGAAATTTTCTATTTAAAAATCATTCAAATCAATACTTATAATCAAATAATTTAAAATAGTTATTGTGTGATTTGTAACGACTGCTGTTTATGCTACTAAATGCTTTAGAATGTGTGGTTTTACCTTTTGAAAGAATAACACAGTTTGCCACAATATTGATAGAACAACACAAAATATCTAGATAGTGTCAGAATCTAAAAAAATATATGACAGCTTAACCAAAAGTGGCCTGGTTTTTTCACATCTGTAAGGTGAGTTATTTTGCTTAAGTGGATTCTTTGACTTTTAAGGTTCTTGGTTTCTGTTACTGGCTTTTATTTTGTTGTCTTCCTAAAAGCTTTTTAAGTACAGATATTCATACTTCTGAGTTTAGTATCTATGTTAAGATTCTTGTTACTACACCTGTTATTCAAAAAAATTTTATTTTGACAATATTTTTTAGTTTGCAAAGAGACATTTACTTTTGTTGCTGTTTTTTAGCAGATTAAAAACCAGAAAATGTTAAATAGACTTAGGAAATCAATCTTTTCTTTAAAATTAAAACTTCAATTAATTGTTATTACATGGCTCTTAAAAGTTTTGTGTGACAAATAGTATATTTAATCAGGTTTTCAAAAACCTCAGCAGGAATTGAATTTATATTTTTAATCATTCACTATTTGAACAGAACATGCCTTAGGAATTGTTCATGTATAGCCTGAAGCCGTCAGTGACTGGCCTTAGGAGGGTAAAGAGTTACACCTGAGGCCATTGACAGACCAGCAGGACAAGTTCTGGGATTTACATTTGTTCTTCTTGGTTCTTGGGCTTTTCTGAATATGCCACCTATTTCTCAGATATGGGCGGATATGGGCAGTAAAGAAATAGATGGCTTTAATAGAAATGATTACATGATTACATGGAGATCAGTTATGCTGTATAATTGTAATGTATAAGACAGGAAAGAACTGATGTTTAGAATATACGTGAAGAAACCTGTATCAGTTATTTTCCCTACTTAACTAACAAAGACAGAAATAGTTCAACCTATTAAAATTCTAAGCAATCATTATTTCTTTAGAGTTCTTACAGTTGAGGAAAGATAGAGCATTAACTCTTCTTACCATTATAGCCTCAAGGCATATGGTAGCAAAAAGTAGATATTTCAAATTGTCTTAAATGGACCAGGATCTAGAGAAGGAAATGTGCTTTGCTCCCATTGAAGCAAATCATAAGTAGAACTGTATGCAGAATTGCTTATTATTAGCTTTAGTAAATTACTCCTCTTAAAAAGATTATGTGATTATTATAGAGAAATAAAAGCAAATATTGAGAAGCAAAGCTAAGCTGTGTTAGAAAGCCATCTAGTGGTATTCAGGAGGAATACTTTTATAGTGCTCTTCCTCTTTTGACTATGTCTAGACTTTTAATAAGTAGGAATTTTTTGTTGTCCTGCTAGAAGAACAGTCTAATTTTGAAGTATTTGAATCCTTTGGAACTGGTTTTGAACAAAGTAAGTAAAGAGTAACATTTGTTTTGCGATTGCTTTTGTGCTGTCGAGGATCTTGGAAGCATAACAGAGATTTGTGTTGCAGAAGGTAAGGGAGCCAGGGAGGCACAAGGAGTGCAGGGCACACAGCTCATGCCGAGAGAGTCCTGTGGAGGGGAACCCCAGTGAAAGAAGGGAAGTATGCTCACGTGTCTGTGTTTCCTCCTTCTCTGCTGGAGACAGTTAGTATAAATGCAAGTCAAGATGGTGGGTGGTTTGTGGGCAATTCTTTTAATGACTTCTGAACCTGTATTTTAGGCCATCAAATAAAAAAGAGTGCTGCATTATTTTAAAAGACGATTTAGTGTTATTTCAGTGAAAATGAATTTTTAAGATTATTAAAAATAAGCCTGGGGCTGTAGTTCAGTGGTAGAATGTGTATTTGGTGTGCACAAGGCTTTGAGTTCCATCTCCAGCACCAAAAACAAAAAAGGACAGATTATTATAAAGGAACAAAGGAATGGTGAAACACACTGGCAAGGGCAGTGTGGGAAACTCTGGAAATGTAAAAAGAGATGAGGTTAATATGGTTAAATATTTTTCAAATTAAGGTTAGTATGAAGCATTATCTAACATGTTGCATATAAAATATGAACACTTTTAATGTTGTTTATACCATGAAAATGGTCTCTTCTGAGGCTATTTTATTTGTCAAAAAGTTGATGTTTATGACATAATCACATGGTTTGTATTTCATACTTAGCAGAATTAGTATGTGTAAGCTATAGAGTAAAACCTCCTTAGAAAATTGTTTCGTGTATTTTCTCATATGAAATGACTCAAGGTCATTTAGGCCTTATATATTGTCCTAATTTTTTAAGAGTTTTTCATTTTAGTGGTTGACCCTTAAGAGTCATTGAGTATGATTATAGTAATACAGTAACATGTTTAAAATACTTTTTTAACTACATTGGTCTTAGTAAGTTTATTTTCTTTTTCAGCAAGACGAGATGAACTCCAGTCCAGGAAAGTGAAGTTAGACTATGAAGAGGTTGGAGTGTGTCAGAAGGAGGTCTTGATAACATGGGATAAGAAGCTGCTAAACTGCAGAGCAAAAATCAGATGTGATATGGAAGATATGCATAGTGTTCTGAAAGAAGGTATTCATGATAATTTCAGGGATCTTTGTTTCTCAGAAAAAAACCTCAGAGAATTTATTTTTGCAGCTTAGGCAATTTCATCTTTGTGCTTTTGCTTATTAAGGAAACAAGTAGTTTGTTTCTGCCTATACTTTAGTAATGTGACTCGTTAAAAAAAAAACAGTGCGGATGGAGATCTGGTTCTTGAGGAGTTGGCTACAGACTCTCTTGCTGGCTTCAGCCAACTGTTTTCTGCTTTTACCCAGGAAGAACTGCATGTCTTGGTACAAGTCTTTGATCAGAGCTGTGAAAATAGTTTGTACTTAAAAGCTTGACTGGTTTCTATCATTTTGTCAGAAGTGTATATTTAGGTGTGTATATATTTTTATGAATGTGTATATACATCCACAGTATATTTATATAGATACATTCACCCTAGTAATCATTTTTCTGTCTTCTCATTCTTTTCTTTATTTTGGAGAAATCATTTTTATATTTAAAACTGAAACAAAAATATGAATATTTTGTGTGGAATTCATGTGACCCAGATTTAAAATATTAAAATGAGAGTTTTCTATGGTTTGCATAAACTGGGTATAAAGTAAAAATTGCAAAATACCCAAAGAAAGCTAATAATTTTGTTTCAAAAGCCTGTGATAATGGTGAGAGTATGGGTAAACTTGATTTGTTTTGTAAGCTACCATGCTTACAAGCCCAATGTCTTGTTCTTTTTCTCTGAATATTTGGAAATCCTAAAGATTTTTGTTGAACACATTATTTGGGAGAGAAAATAGTGGTTATTGAATGTGTGTGAGCTGTAGATCTCACCATTCTTTGGTACAATTTTTAAAGATGATTTTTGGGTGCTCAATTTGCTTTTCCTTGTAGATACAATTTAAAATTCTTCACACGGAGCCTAAGGCCGCCGTGATCTCTCCTTTTTCCATCTCTGATCACAATTCTGCTTCTGTTTGTACTTTGTCCTGCAGAGAGGCTGCATTACCTTGGGTGCCGCTGTGTCTCAGGCTAGTTCTTCCGTGGAATGTTCCAGTCCTTTGTTGGCGGTTCCTTCCTTCCTTCTCTACCTTCTCCATTTCTCCTCTTTTCTCCTCCCTCCGCTTCTTACTACTCTTCCTCCCTTTCCTCTGTCCTCTTACGTCTTCATACAACTCTCTTCCTGAAGTGCCTGTCACCACACCTTCAGTCTAGAGTTCTGTTCTCTCGTAGGTCTCAGTTCAATACTTCTATTTCCTCAGAGCACTCATCCTGGTCCTCACAACCAAAATAAAACAGTTTTGCTTTTATTCATTCTCACAATCAATTGTTCTTATCATAATTTGTAATATGATATTAATGAGTGTATTTGCTTAGTGTTTTTCTTGCTCTATGATTGCACAGCCAAGCTCCCAAGGTAGTATCTTGCACAAGTTTTTTGTTGGATGAATGGATGGATGGATGGAAGAATTAGACTGATTTCTCTGAAAATATATTTATTCATCTCTATAAAATGAAATATCTTCAGTGTCATCTCTGTGCTCCACTATATACTCCAATTAATATTTGGCCAAATAATGTTTGTTTAATTAATGTGAGTTAACTTTTTGTGAATTTGTTGTTGCATGGGTAGTGAAACAGCCCACTCAGAAGAACAATGATTTATTAATTGGCTAATAAAAGTTATTCTCTAAAAACGACATTTTATCTGCTGCTATTCATTCATTCAACAAATGCTTAAGTAACAAGATATATTCTTGGATTTCATCCTTCAGAGATAAGAGTATGCTCACCGTTTCCAAGGAATTCACCATCTACAATGGGGAAAATAGAAAGCATACAATCTAGCATTAAATGTAAGCCAACATAGCAACATGACAATGTGAATCAAATTGTATGTGAAAAAGGATTGTTTTTAGAGATGATGGTGAACATTTCAGCAAAAAAAGATAGCACTCAAGCTGATCCATATAGATGAACAATAATAGCCCAGGTCATAAAATATTAGAGTTTGGAATTCCATAAAGGCAACAACAGGAGCAAGAAGTTTGAGAAGTGAAAATAACCACAATCTTCTGGCATATGGCTGAGAATGGGGCCAGCGATACACTACCAGTATTGTAGTGGAAGGTTTACAAATCAGGTCAAATCTGAGCTCTACCTTCTGGGAAATAATACTTTTACTTTTTGCAAACGCTGAGATCACAGTCAGAAAAGATTCTGTCTTTAAACCTTCCCTTAACCAGCTGGAGCTAATGAACCTGTTCAGAACTAGTTTAGTGACCTAAAGTTCTTAGTGAGTGAAACAAAGTTACCTACACAATATAAAATAAATTTTTGCCCTTCCCACTTGCTTCCTGTCTTTTCACAAAAAAACCACAGTTTTAGCATACATTCAACTGATGTGCTTTGGATTTTAAGTGTAATAGTTAATATTTCATTATAAATGCTAAATATTTTCTTCATAATGACTGAATACAGTACTGGAATGCTTAGTAATATCTTTTCATGGTGTTTACTATTTTTTCTTATATTTTTATGACCATATAAGAATGTTTTAAATTATTTTTTGTAAAATTAGTCATGGATGATAAACATTTAGAAACTATAATGCAAGGATTAGTATTTGTTGCTATCTTCAAGCCAAATAAAAGGTAAAATTAGGCAGTAATACATTTTGGAATTTCAGGATTTGGCTTCTGAAAACAGACTTTCATAGTTCAGATTCTGTACTGCCGCTTACTAGCTGTGTGAACTTGGGCAAACTACTTAATCACTTTCTGCAACTTCTGTAAATTGGTACTAATAGTAGCTGACTATGTATAGCATTTTTCTATTTGTGAATGACAATGCTCGGTAGCGAAAAATTTTTAATCTTTTATTGGGTGGTCAATCTCTGTTGGTTGATGTTATTGCTAATGTAGCTGTTATTATCATCATCATTTGGAGGCTTTCATTTGCAAGATGGTGAGAGCTTTGGAATTAAACTTGTGAAAATGTGCTTTTGTCAGGGACCTAGGGATTAGATGCAGGACATAGTTGATCAACTACAATTTAGCAACTTAATCCAGTGCTCAAGGCCTTGCTGTCTCTCTCTCTCTGTGTGTCTCTGTCTCTGTCTCTCTCTCTTTATTTATTTAACTTAGTTTTTAATCTCTTTGATTGTAGGAGTTCCCAAAAGTCGGCGAGGAGAGATTTGGCAGTTCCTAGCTTTACAGTACCGTCTGAGGCACAGACTGCCTAATAAACACCAGCCTCCTGACACATCCTACAAGGAACTTTTAAAGCAGCTCACTGCTCAGCAGCATGCAATTCTTGTGGATTTAGGTACGTGTGTCTTTGACTGTAATTTACAAAAGTAAGCAAGTGTTTTGTTTGTTGGTCGGCACTGACAGAGAGGATATGTTGCTACCTGCAGAGCTGCTGGCCTTCTTTTCTGTGGTTAGTTGGCTTTATGTCTGATTCTTTAAAATTTTATTTTAAAGAGAATAAAACCAAATAAAATAAAACAGAATAAAGCCAGTGAAAACAAAGCAGTGAAAGTGATACAGGATTTCAAAACAGGATAATAGGAAATCAACGATGACTATCAAAATGCCTCTTGTTATCTTCAAAATTGCTGCCCATACCAGCAGACATAATAAAATCAGAACAGGATAAAACCAATCAAAGCAGAACATTGTATAAAACAGAACATAAAATGGAACAAAACAAAACAGTGAGAACAATATTGGATTTCAAAAACAAGACAGAAGGAAATCTCCCATATTTGCTGTATTATAAATTGTTATCCTTTTAATACATGTTCAGACTACTGGCCTTAGGCCTGAGCAAAAAATGAAGTTTTTACCCCAAAACTCTCTGAAAAAGGAATCATCTTATAATTGACTGAGTACAAAGGTCATATTATGAGTGCTCGCCTGCATTTTGAGCACATGACTTTCTTTGTTTGGGATGGACAACTATATCTTAATGAGTGCTGATTTTGAAATAAATTAAAATTGGTTAAATGGAAACCAAAAAATTTTAACAAAGATAAAGAATTCTTGCGCATATGGATAAAAGCAAACCTTTAGGTATCTTTTTTCAAGAGCAATGTCAGAGTTGCCTGCCTCTGGCCCAGGAGCAGGTGGTGGTTGTGGGAAGCATGCAGGTATATAAGTAGCTAGTGCCAGGTGGACTTAGCCCACTCCTTACAAAAAGAAAGAAGGGGTTACTTTTTGAGACAGTAAATGGTAATGTTACTGCCTATCAGATAGATGAAAAGTGGTCTCACTGCTGCCAGATGAGTACTTATGCTTGGGCGAGGATTTCCGCTATCAGCAATATAAAGCAATCTTTTAATGCTGAATTTCAGGTAACTTGTAGAAATAAAGTGGGTTTGACTGGAAACTCATATTGTCTGTTTTTCACTAACATTATCATATGTACTTTCTTATTTTAAAATACCTAAATACTGTTTTTTGACTATTTTATGAGTACTGAAAGTTGTAATGCATTTCAGATGGCCAGATGTGTTACTCAAGCCATTGAGGGGAAATAGAGGATTGCTTTATATTTGGCATAATGTTATGTTAGGACTTATAAAATAGCACTGTCCAAACCTGAGTTTTTACATCTGTTCCTTTTAGGTAACAAGCGACTTTTGTTGGGAGAGAACCTAGCTCAATTTAAATCCATTTTGGGTCCAGTAGCATTAGAATGGAAATTTTATAGAGATACTGAACACTGGAGTTCTTGTCTGGATTTTACCACTGACCATGGTCTGAGACGAATTGCTTTGCTTCTGCTCTCAGTTTTCTCTGTTGGGTGGGGACTGACTGGTTCCTACCCTCCCTTGCAGAGCTGTGGATCTATGACCCCAAGTCAGTGTTAAATCAGGACTGGGCCAGGGATTTAGGTCAGTGGCTTAAAGTGCCTGGCTGGCAAGCATGATGTCATGAGTTTGATCCCTGGTACCAATAAATAAATAAATACATACATACAAACATACATGCATGCACACCAGGATTGAGAGGTTGCAATCAGGATTAAACCACATAGCCTAATAATGAAAGAAGATGGGATCAGTTTTCAGGGACAGGCTTGTACGGACTGAACTTCTTGTATAGACAGTGCATTTATAGGTTTTTTTTAGCCAAATTTTTAAGAGAAAAAGTAAAATGATACTTTAAAAATTGCTTAGTTCACTCTATTTGTAGCCAGCTGTGTTTCTGAGCATATTCTTGTTATTTTCTCATTTCTTCCCCTTACTCTGCACACTTAATCTTATCAGTTCCTGGGGAAAAAAGTCACTTTTAAGTGTATGTGGTAGAAAATATTTTAAAATCTGGCATTCTTGCAAATTCTGACATGACTAATTGTTTCACAGTCATTTCGTGTGTGGGATAAAGGAAGTCTCAAATCAGTGTAGACAGCTGTGGTGGAGAAGAAGGATTTGTTTTAGTGCTCAGTAGCGGCTTTTTAGGAATGCAGGACTGAGTTCATTTGCTAGCTGGCATCGCTCTTGTAACTTTATGCTCAGAGGTAAATTTTATGGGGGAATTTATTTGAAATCAGCACAACCTTTTACTTTCCTTGCTCTCATTGGACATATATATGTCTTTTTGGGATATGTTGAAAAAAGAAAAGGAGTCTACTTGGTTTATGGAAATATTTTTTTTTTTGTCTTTTTCCTTTTTATTGGTACCAGGGATCGAACTCACGACTGCCTGCTTGCAAGGCAGGCACTTATGCCGCTGAGCTAAATCCCCAGCCCCGGTTTATGGAAATATTTTAAGGAACAAACACCAAAGGATATTTGAAAAAGAAGTATTTTGTAAATGATAAAAAAGCAAAACAACAACTAGAAAGTCTTTCCAGTATCACATTACAATAAAAGCAGGGATAAATGTCTTCATGGACTACCAAGACTTCTTTGTAAATAACATGATACCTCTTCTAGAATTCTGATTTGAGTTAGTGTTCTTTATATAAACTTAGAACTTGCCTTGAATTATGGTCATGCTAAACTTTATGTTCTGTTCTCCTATGGTCTCCTGGATATGTTTGTAGATTCTATTTTATTGTTTTGCTAGAAAGAAGTATTGACTAGCAAAAATCACTTACCCTTGCATCATCATATATATATATATATATATATATGGATTTAGGGTATGGGCCTGGCATGTAAGACTCAATGAGTTAGTACTAGACCTACAGCTAGAGCGAGACTGTTTGAATGACTCTTAGATAAATACTCCAAGCAACACTTACTCAAATTACTCATTTGGGAGAACGTGTTCCCTTATTCTTGGAGCTCACTGAATTGCATGAATTTTATTTTCACTCTGATCTCAAAGCATCAGAGCATCTGAAAAAAATTTTCTCTACTTTTCCTCTGCAGGAAGGACGTTTCCTACTCACCCTTACTTTTCAGTACAACTTGGGGCAGGGCAGCTGTCTCTCTTTAACCTTTTGAAAGCATATTCTTTGCTGGACAAAGAGGTGGGCTACTGTCAGGGGATCAGCTTTGTGGCTGGAGTCCTGCTTCTGCATATGAGTGAAGAGCAAGCCTTTGAAATGCTGAAATTCCTCATGTATGACCTAGGTTTCCGCAAGCAGTACAGGCCGGACATGACGTCCCTTCAGGTGAGTCAGTGGCTTTTCACGAGGACCTCGGGGGCTCTTATCAGCAATCTTGGCACTAGTCTTCTTCTGAGTTGCAGTTTACAACACAGGAGTTTGGAGTTATTAGAACTTGGGCAGATGAGTTGGGCATGTTTAGATTACTCAGGAGTGCTCAAGTTGTATTCCCCAGGACACATAATTGCAGTGTTTTGGTACCTAGCTGATGCGTGTTCAACTGGTCTGCTAACAGGTCAAATAATGACTGTGGAATGTTTTATCTCTCACTTTTTCCTAAACAATTTGCTTGTATTTCATTGAGTGTCACTGTAAGGACTTAATCCTGGTTTTCAGAAACCACAGTTTGATAGCTATCATTAGAAGGTAAAGATGGGAGCCAGACCTGGTGATGCAGGTCTGTTATCCCAGAACTTCGGGAGGCTGAGGTGGGAGGATCACAAGTTCAAGCTCAGCCTGGACAATTTAGAGGCTTAGGAAGACGTCTAAAAATAAAAAGGGGGAGGGGCCAGGGACTCCGCTCAGTGTTAAGTAAGATCCTAGTTCCTGGTACTGAAAATACTTTTGCTTTCAAAGAATAGGTAGTACCTGTGAATAATGTTTATTGTGGACCATAGACAAAACATGCAGCTATCTCAGTTTTAAAATGTAGTGATTTCTCCACTAAAATGTTCTTTATCCATTTGTATGACAAAACTCATATACATTAGATTTATAAATATCATTACTTACAATTACTAATAAATAATTTATGTCTCTTACTTTGAAAATGGGTATGTTTGAAAAATCTTTGGTGGCTACCTTCTTATAGGCTACAATATTAGGGATGTTATGGGACCTTATTTTAAGACGGTAGATAGATATTTTCCTTTTAAAGAGAGCTATAAACCCTTTTTACGTTTTAGAATAAGAAATCAGTGTTTCGTTCCAATCAATACAGCTTTCAAAAGTGTGCATAAATACTATTCAGTAGGCTCAGATTTTCTTGATAGGATTCTTGTTTCCTTGTTTCACTAGAGGTGAACTTGGGTACTCCAGGCTTTCTGTTCCAGTTACCATATCTGAAAAATGAGAATGAGTTCTCTATCAACTTTAAGCGTTTATATTTTATCATGTTTTGGATTACTGATTTCTATGTTGGGCGTAGAGCAGTATGTTTTCCCCCTGAAGTCAATGGTCTTGTCTTTCGCCATCTTTTCTTCTCCTCCCTTCTCATCTCTGCATCTTACTTGACTTTTATCTCTTCCATCTGGAGATTTACTGTGTATTGATAAAGGATAATTGGAGATTATTCATTTTTAACAAATAGGATTTTATTATTAAAGCATCCCTTGAAGGAAGCTTGAATTTTTTCTTCATCTGCCCAAATAGACCTTGAAGAAAGAAATGTTCTCACCCCCAAGCTTTAAAGATGGGAGTTGGGGAGAGGTATAAAGTAAGATTCTTTAAAAAATATTAAACAACAGCACTGTTGCTTCTTTGTTGTGACCACAGTTGTTCAAGAAAATACGAATGCCTTTCTTTTTCTCTTTTAATTAGACTTGCTTGGCTTCCAAAGAATTTGTTCCCAAATTAAGTCTTCTGTTGATAGATGAACTATAAATGGTCTAAGGGAAATGTATCATTTTTTCAACATGATTTGAGATAACAATTTCATTAAAAAACTTAAGTTTAACTTCAGCTAAGCTGCTTATTTTGTAGTTAAGAGTTGCTGTGGTTGATTTCCTTTTACAGTTTCTGTGGAAGCTTAGCTTCCAGATGTATATGTTGTAGCTAACGATCAAACGTAATTTATGTATAGTACTTTCTGATTTCCCCAAAGTAGTCACCTCATTTATGCTTTGGAAACAATTGCTGAATTCAAAGTATGTTAGGTTATTTGTAGGCATTTTCTTAGTGTTACCTATTTAAGGGTGGTGCTTCAAGGATTGCTTTTGTGAAATTATTCTGGATTTAACAAAGCATTGTTTACATTTCACACCAAATGTCAAGGTTATATAATTGAACACAGAACCACGACTCATCCATTAACTCTATGGATAAAACTTAAATTATTATTTACTGTTGCTTTATATTTAGAGTCACAGAAGAATTTAAAGGCATCCTATGATGTTTAATGTTTATTGAATTGAATGTTGATTGAATTGCTAGTAGTCCACTTAGTAGCCAAATGAAATATTTTTTTCCTACTAATTCTAGAACTATTCAGAAAGAGCTGTACTTTTTTATTTTAATCCCCTTTGGCATGATAAACATGTTGCTGGAATAACTTGGATATTAGAAGAAACATCTTGAGCTTATGGCACTGGGACATTCTAAGCCCCCATTCCATGTTAGCAATGCAACTTGTGCAGAGTGCCTTAGCCAGGACACTATCATGAATCAAATTTTGGACACTGAAAATAGAGTCAAGTTTTGCTTCTGCACTGAACATAGAAGGTCGGAGGCCAGGAAAGTTCAGATTAAATTCTAAAAGCAATGCTTTCTTCAAGAGGGAAAGTATTATTTCTGTGTATGTCTATTATACTCAAAGATTCATAATAGAAAACCTTGCTCAAGAGATTTAGATAGATTTAGAGTGACTTACTTTATAAACTCAGTTGAGTGAACTTGGGCTTGAATATCAACTTTAAAATCATAATGAAAATAAACTCAAAATACTGTTACTATTTATTTATTTAATATATGTGGATTTTTATTAATTATTAGAATAATAAAATTTAAATTAGTGTATTACATGCACATTCAAAAATGCACAATATTTCATTTTTCTTCTCCAAATTAAATTTAGATTCAGATGTACCAGCTGTCCCGGCTGCTCCATGACTACCACAGAGAGCTCTACAATCATCTCGAAGAAAATGAAATCAGCCCCAGTCTTTATGCTGCTCCTTGGTTCCTCACATTGTTTGCCTCTCAGTTTCCATTAGGATTTGTAGCCAGAGTTTTTGGTGAGAGACTCTTACTGTTACTATTAAGTGTTGTTTATTTCAGGAAATATACTTCTAGCCATCTGGTACCTCAATTATTTTATGACGTGTTACATAGAATAGCAAATTGCTAGTAATTGATTCTGCTAGTAATTTAAAACCATATCAGTCTTAAGTAATATTAAGATTCAGTAGAAAAAAATGGACTCCTGAGTTTGAATAAACTGTATGGAGTTCTTTTTGTTTTTGCTTAAATGTTAGAATAAAGTTTTTAAAATATGATGAGGGACATACTCCCTATAGTTTTTCTGATTTTTATACGTATCTTCGATCTCTATTTGTTGTTGTTATTGTTGTTCTTCCCCTCACTCTTTCTCATTGTTATCTTGAATGTGGGTTCAGAACACGGAGAACAATGCTCTGTAACGAGGTCAATGGAAAATTATCAGTGTTACTTCTAATGGCATGTCCTAGTCTCACTTTTGGTTACTACACAGTAACTGATTCATATTTCTTGGTTTAGGGACACCTCCTTCATGCCTGTGCAGGGTGGTTGCCACTTCTAAAATTGAGTGGCTCATGGGAAAACAATAAACATAGGCAGGGGAAGTTTTTGAAGGCCTGTCTTGCTCTGATTATGGTGCTTGACACTAGGAGAAAAGGAGTATAATGTGGTTTATGCTCCTGGTGGAGCCTCTAAATCTGTTCAGAAGTCTTTAGTTAGGTTTGCCTGTCTTTTAAAAGGCAATAAATAAATAAATAAAACAATAACTCCTCTCTAGAGGTTTGTTCTAACGATACTGTTTGGGATCTCAGTGGCCTCAGAAAGGGCTCCCACAGATTTTTTTTATTGTTCTGCTCATTTGTCTGGTAGCCATGGTGAAAGTCATCAGTATCCATTCACAACTGTGCTTTTGCTAAATTGGAGCATTTGAGCAAATTTAAGTATTGGCTCGCTTGTCATTACCAGCTTTTAAAGAAATGGAATAAAATAGAGCTCAGTGAAAATACTAGAGAATAACAAGTAGGAAAAATGTTTCTTAGGGAAACTTTAGTCCTGAGGATGTATGTGTAACGTGTGTGTAATAGATTGTAATTTCAGAATCTTATGAGGAAGACTGCATTTTAAAAATACACTACATTAGTGAACTATAATCTATAGAGTGTAGCAAAAGAATAAAATCAAGTTGCAGTAAATCAAATTGGTGCCAGATTTCTCCTGTTTACTTACTGGACATGATTTTTTTCTCCAGTGAAATTTTCTTTGGAGGTTGAGTTCCTATGAGTCTTCTAGAAATCTTTTTATATATGTAGGTTTCAGAGAAATATATATAATCCTTTTATATATGTATTTCTCTATCAAATCTGACAGATGTTCAGTGTTTCCCTTATTTACTTATCCTTGGACCCTTGATATCAAGAGTTCAAGAAACAAATTCCCCTAGTAGTCTGTCCCTTAATATGAGGTTATAACTGAAACTATCAGCTGTCTGATACTCAATCTTTTCTTTTGAATTCAGTAAAAAATAGAGGTTGTCATGAAATGATGCAAAAGCAAAATGAATGACTGTGTTTAAAATAATTGTTGCACACTTCCCTTTTTAAAGACTCCATTGTATATTTTGGATAGAAGAATGGTGACTATATTGAGAAAAATTTTCATGCCATTGTATTTGCTATTGAATGTTAGTTGAGTAGTTTTTCTTTTTTCTCTTCTGATGTTGTTACTTACTTTGATTTTACTTTCAAAGTTTTCCTTCAATTTTCTGCTGTTACATAGATTTATGTATTATATGGTTCATTTACTTTTATATTGAGTTTCAATAATATCAATTGGTTATGTTTTGCTGTGACAAAGTACCTGACACCCAAAATTAAGGAAGGAAAAGTTTATTTAGCTGGCAGTTTGTGGAAGTTTCAGTCCATAATCAGCTAAATTCAAGGCAGAGTGGCATGGCACAGAGGCATGGCACTTCATGGCAGCAGAAGACAGCCAAATTGTCAAGGGCAAAATGGAGAGAAAGCAAGTCTCTTCTCGCTTATATTGTAAGCAAGTTACCACGTCACCCCACCCTGAGTGGGTATAGAAAATTCACCATCTATAGGCCCTTCTCCTGAGCAGGCTGAGGATGTTTACTAAGTGAGGATCCTGGCACCCTGTTTAGTCACTTCATTAGACTTCTAAACTCAAGTTGATACAGTGTATCAATTATAGATTTATATATTAGCTGGATCATTTACATATATACTGTGAGAATTTCAATAATATTAATTGGTTATATTGATTTGTTTTTATGTTCTGTTGTGAAGAAAAATTTAAGTATTACTTGAATTTTTGAGGTTAACACATCTTCCATTAAATTTGCTATTCAAATTATAAGCAATACATAGATCACCATATATATAATTTGTTCTTTTTTACCTTAGCCTTATCTGAGATCCCTAGTAAGAATGGGAAATATTCAGACATCTCTTTACTTGTTTCAGTCATAGTATTTTTTTTTAAAGTTAGGTGCTTTTGATGTTTTCTTTTGCAAAATAATCTCTAGTTCTGCTTGAGAAATAAAACACACACATTACCTTAAACATGAAGAGTACTCTTTTTTATAATAGTGAGTGCACAATTTCGCTAATGAAATCGTCTCCTCTTTTAGATATCATTTTTCTTCAGGGAACTGAAGTCATATTTAAGGTTGCACTGAGCCTCCTAAGCAGCCAAGAGACACTTATAATGGAGTGTGAAAACTTTGAGAACATTGTTGAATTCTTAAAAAGCAAACTACCTGATATGAATACTTCTGAAACGGAAAAAATTATTAACCAGGTATGATTTAAACAATAATAACAAAATACAAGATTACAGCAGTTCTTGTACTGTTTATATATTAAATGCTTTAGCATTAAGATGTAGTTTTGTTTGACAGATATGACTGTCAAGATATTCTGTTGTTTACTTTGATCAGAATTATTTAGAAATAAAATCATGTAAAATTTCTATACTGGGACTTTGTGCGGTTATGCATAGGAAATATGGGTTAGTGTTATATAATGAATTTTCCAGGGATCTTCTCAATTTAAACCAGTTCTGAGATCAAAGATAGACCTTACAGTGTTAGAAAGATCTGAGAAAAAGTGAAATGACTTACTTTTGTAATATCAGTTTGTAAAATATACAAGAAGATCATGTGATAAGAGAACCCAGGCTTTGAAATTACAAAGTATTGGTTTGTATAATCTTCTAACTTTTTTCATTAAAATTTATTAATCGATATTACTGTGACAATAATTCTTTTTTACTCTTTAGCATGTACTTGCCATCCTGCACTTCTGAACCCTATTACTGCTTGGCTCCAAAATGAGACAGTAATGTTCCAAGAAGTTCTATGAAGAAGACAGGGTTTTCTCTGATGATTCCAATGATAGGACCATTTGCAGAGACGCAGGCAGGGTTGTGGGAATCAACACAGATGGTCTGGTGCCCAGGAAGTAGAACCAAGGGATGCTAATTCTGCTCTGGTGCTGAAGGGCAAGTGGAAGACATAGAGAGAGTTCTTAAAATACACAGTGAATGCTTAAACTTTAAAAACATTTTGATAAAAGACGCATTGCCAACTAATCCCCCTCAAAATACTCCCCTTTACTTTAAACACACTTATTCCCACATTCTTACCACTTTCTGAAGGAGCTCTCTTGCACTAGTGTCTTTATGAGATCTGATCAAAAATCTAGTGAATGCTGCTGCTGCTTAGTGCCATCCAACAAAAAGCCAGGCTCATAAGGACATAATGATGTGTCCTCATCCACCTCAGTCACCAGTCTGACACTTCACAACTGTTGGCTCTTTCCTAACGTCAGAATTACTATGAAAGATAAATATTTTGAGTTGATTCAGAACACTGAAGCAGCCATGACAAAAAACACAGAGGAGAACTTTCAGAACTGCTTCAGATGTGACCAGAACAATGGAATACAAGTGTTTGAAGTGAGGGGGAAGAGTTTCAGGAGGGTTAATGGCCATGTGTCTTTTACTATAAAAGTGTTTTAAAATTTAAACATTCTTTGTGGATCACACCTTTAATAAATAGTGATCAAGACATAGTTGAAACGATGGAGAAGGGGCAGTTATGCTCTTGGTGAACTAAACAAGGAAAGGTCCAAGGAGAAACCCTATACTTCCACCTGCCTCTGCACCTTCTAGTACCCTAGCACCTGTCCTGACCAAACCCTGACCAGAAGCAGTCAGAAAGGAACTGCGGGGTCTGCCCCTGGGAGACAGGAGAAAAAATGAGAGCAGAGAGAGACTCTGAAGAGCAAATAAAAACCTGGTCCCTGGCTTCATAGGGACCAGATACGAGGCAGTTAAATATTGATGTTGTTCAGGTGAAGTGAGCAAACTTAAGAGCAGATCTGTAGATCCTGTGGTCTTGCTTATGCACACTGATCAAATGTATCACTTTTCTGAAGGCAATTGGGGTAATGGAAAGAAGACACAATTTAGAGAATGGAATCTGAAATTTATTCTGCCCCCTATTAGCTTTGTGATTTTGGACAACCTTGAGGCTCCCAAAAAGGAACAACAGTATTGATGACAGGGCTGGGGATTTAGTTCGGGTTTTAGTGCCTGCTTGGCAAGCATGAAGTTGTGAGTTTGATTGCTGGTACTCCCCCCAAAATTGATGCTAATTATGAGTTAAAGCATTTCATATGCTCCATTACTACTATGTATAGACTGTCATTATTCAAATTATCTTTCGATTACATAAAATCTAAATCACAGATATTCTGTAATATATATCAGTAGTTTTATGTATTAAGATATTCTGATAAGAATACTATACTTGATCTTAGCCAAAAAGGTTGAGAAGCAATATATTGAGATATTCTGTAAGCAGAAGAGTGTAGCTTTTATCTACATACTTACTAATTCTTCAGAAACACCCTTCTTTTGGACTATAAGCTGTTGGAAATTGTGGTTTTGGAGAACTGAAATCAGATGTTATTTGTCTTCAAAATTAATGAAGGAATTGCCTGGTTTTATAGATTACTATTAGGATTAATGGATAGAATTTATAGTCAGGTATTTTTGGACTTGATATTAGAACTGCCTGAAAATTGGAGTTAATTAACTGTGGAATGAACTGCTGATATTGAAAGAGACCTTGATGAGTTTTATTTATGGACATTATAAAAAATTCAAATTGTGGGGCTGGAGATTTAGCTCAGCGGCATAAGCGTCTGCCTTGCAAGCAGGCAGTCGTGAGTTCAATCCCTGGTACCAATAGAAAGGAAAAAGACAAAAAAAAATTCAAATTGTGCAGAAAAGCACAAAGAGGAAAATAAAAGTAACTATGAACTTAATGTCTAGTATGATAATCTTTGAAATGGCCTACTATATATATCTCTGCTTATACATATATATAAATATGTATTCAGTTTTACATAAATGAAAACATACTGTAAATCTTATTGTATGACTTCATTTTTAATTAAAATATGTATAAAGTATTGGACTTTTTTCATGATTATGAAACAGATGAATATCCCACCATCATCCACTGTAGTGGGGATTAATTCCAGGGCCTTCACTCTGTGCTACCTCCCTCGCCCTCCTGCCTCAGCCTCCCAGTTATCAGGATTACAGATATCATTTTTGATGGCTGTGTAGTGATACATCATATCTATACCTCCTAGATGAGGAAAAAATGATGCTGTTTCAGAGGATGACTAGTTCATCTAGAAATTCTCTGATTAAAGTTCTATTATTTGCATTTCTCTGATAAGTACTCAGGTCATATTTTCTTTTTGTGGTGGTTTCTTTATTCTCCACAGTGTCAGTAGCAGACCCCTGGCGTGAGTCACTATGCTGCCTCAGCTCTTCCTGTCGCAGGTCTAGACTAAGGAGGGCTTGCCTAGACTAAGGAGAGCTTCCTCTAATTTCTAAACAAACCTCTTCCTTTCTGGTAATAATATAGGTGAGTGGCAGCAGTCTACTTAAACCATACAGCTCTAAACAGTGCTCAGGGAGCAATTTTGAGGATTCTCTTTGTGGTAGAATAAACAAATGACTCGTAAGAGGCTTATATAGAAAAGCAAGTGGGTGAAACCATTAAGACCTTTCTGTTCATTGACAAATAAATGAGAAATGTTTTTGGTCTCTATATCGTAGAAATACCCTGTATAGCTTTGCTTATTCACCAGCAACAGTTGCCTCTAACGTGGAAAATAATTGCTCAGTAATTAATGTTTTTATTTTGGTTGCAAAATGTTCTTAGACTTTAATTTCTTTTCATGACTTGATCTTACTAAGAGAATGTCACAGTTGGATACAAATAGTCTGTGATCTGAGTGTTCTTCTATTGAGAGTTTATTTGTTTTCCTTTCTGTATGCTTCAGTGTTTCTCAAAACAAGTATGAGGTATACAGAATGTTACATGCACTGCATACACAGAGAGAATGTTGGTACTGAACATCAGTCTAATCTTGAGTGTTTCCGTGGCAGGTTTTTGAGATGGATATTTCTAAACAGTTACATGCCTATGAGGTAGAATACCATGTGCTGCAGGATGAGCTCCAGGAATCTTCATATGCCTGTGAGGATAATGAATCTTTGGAGAAGCTGGAGAGGGCCAACAGCCAACTGAAACGACAGAACATGGACCTCTTAGAAAAATTACAGGTAGAGAAACAAAGAAGTAGTCAGCCCCTAAGAATAGCACTTAACCTCTTAGCTTATCAATTTTTTCTATTCAAAATAGAACCAATGTAATTTTTTAAAAAACAATTAATCCCTTATTACTGTGCTATTTCAAGAATGATTAATGGAGCATCTCCTTCTTAGAGGAGGAGAGTTTGCTGTTTTATATTAATGATTGTTCTTAGTTGTTACAGAGTTTTCAGTGATAAAATATAGTCATCAGTTTCCTTGGGGACCATTTGATACTTATCAAAACTGATAGGACCCCAAGTATGTGTTTTAGAGAACCCTGCGTTTCCAAGCAGAGCTCTTAAGCCCTGGAAGGTCATGTCAGGAATTTCCTGTTTCTTCTTCAGCAAAGGCACTTTGGGGAACCCCCGTGGGTGTGGTGTGAGGACCCCAGCAAATAGGGTGATGATTCAGCATTACATTATTGCTATAGTCAGTGAGAAAAGATGGAAAATGTTGGTGGTGATAGTTATATTTTTGAGTGACCTAAAAAATCTGTAAGCTCTCGCAGCATTTTCACCTCTTAATACTTTATTAAATAATTTGATGTAATTAGTTAATATACATGAGGCCTAGCTACCATTGTAGTAAACAACCAGACTCTTCAGAGTTTTGATTTGGATGGTTGTTTTTTTCCCTTGCCAAACAGGTGGCTCATGCTAAGATCCAGGCCCTGGAATCAAATCTGGAAAATCTTTTGACCAGAGAGACCAAAATGAAGACTTTAATCCGGACCCTGGAACAGGAGAAAGCGGTTTATCAAAAGACAGTGGAACAAATCCGGAAGCTTCTGCCAGCAGATGCCCTGGCTAATTGTGAATCACTGCTGAGAGAATTGAACTGCAACCCTAACAACAAAGCCAAGACCGGAAATAAGCCATAATTCAAGATGTGTGTTGCAGCAGAAAGTGCTCCTTAAAACCCCATGGGGGAAGGACCTGTGCACTGCTGGCCCCTGCAGGACGCCCAGGTTGGAGGAACCACCTACCACCTGTGCTGCTCTCATTAGAGCATGCCAGTCCTAAGCCATTGTACAGACACAGACTGAGTTTTCTTGTTGCCAACTATGTACATATATATAAAATAGACATAAAAAAGATCATGCTTTCAAATAAAATGAGTAGACGTATATTTAGAGAGCAATATTTTTAAGTCTGACCTTCATGAAATCCACACCCAAGGGAAGTTCAGTTGGAACTCTCCTTGGGCATATGTGACATCTGTTTGTCTTTATAGTGAAATAAAGCTAGAGCATCTTTGTATATTGAGATATACTTGAAAAAAATGAATGTATTTTTTTCTCCAAAGAGCAGCATGTTTCACTCAATGGTGTAAAGGTGGAACCATTTATGTTACTTTATGTGTATCTGTCCTCAGTTCTACTGACATTGTCTACATGAGGAAAATGGTTGCTAATCATGCTCCTGTAAGTTTTATACAAAGGTGGAGGCTTTTTCCCCCATCCTGCTTTGTGCCAATTAGCATGGTTCATGTGCAAGTGAGTCTAATTAGGCTTCGCTTAAGAAATACATGAGGAGAAAGCAAGAATTGTGGACAAGTCTCCCCAGCTCAAGGTAAAGAAAAAGAAGAGGATTGCTAATTTTATAGCAAATGAGACCAGCATTGTTAGAAAATAACAGGCCTTGAAAATACGATTTAGAACCGTGATGATGAACCTTTTTGAGCTTTCAGTGTTGGAAACAGTGTTGGAAAGCCTGATGTGGCATGCGTGCCATAGGTTCGCCACCACTGATTTAGGACTGAAATTGTTCGGATTATTCTCTGCCATTTTACTTAAATGACTTACACAGCAGTGAACAGCAGTTACCAAGTGATAAGGTTTAGCCATTTTTCCCACCAGACTGTGAGATTTTCTCAATTTAATTTTCTCTCCCATCAATTGTAATGAAATACAATTATGATTGATTTTTCCAATGATGACTTACTGTGTTGAGATCTTCTTGGCCACTTGAGAGACTCTAATAAGCACTTAACCATTTTCCCCTTTCACTTGGAAATTTAGAACTGCAAAACACTTAGGAACAAACCATTGAGATCAATGGGGACAGAAGAGTAAAGTCACATCAACTCAACAAAAATCCTGCAGTTCTGCATTTGGGCTCCCAACTTCTGCCACCTATAACAGCTTAGCAGAGGACATTCAAGTACGCTGGCTATGTGGAAAGACAGTCACTTTCAAACAGCACCTGCAGTTATCCCTATCATAGATGATTTTACAGTAGTGCCTCTGAAAATTGATGTAGCATTTTTGCCTTTCCTATCAGTATTTATCGTCACTGCTCTTTTGCAGTCTCTGTATTTCCATAGATGGGTTATTTGGGATAATTTTCTTCAAGGAGAGTTTGTTGTGTACAAGCTGAAATTTATTATAGAGCGCACAAATAAAGGTTTCAGGAAATCTTGATGAGCAGATGAAAAACATCTGAAACCCCTTCAGTATGAATGTATGTAATGACTTACTACAGAGCAGCATGCCCTTAAATCAGGCGGTTTCGTAAGTGACAATAAAATCTTACTAACAAGTAAACTTACTGTAACTTCTAGGTTCTAGAGACTGTTGATTTTAGGTGCCCCATTTAGTTGAGGGCCATTAATTGATCTGTTGCTTGGGTTCCTTCGGATTTTTGTTATTTGTAGGAGTTTTTTTTCCTCCCTAACAGGAATATGACAGATACCATCTTTTTGCTGTTAATTGATAAAAATTGCCTTACGGATGTGATATGCAGTTGAGAGCCAAGGAACCTTTTAGTTGGGGAAGGAAATCTTTTCTGTTATTCAATCTAAAGTAAACTTTATTCTGGAAGTTTAGGCAACATTATTAGTTGTATTATGGTATTTATAGGTGACTTGCATACAACATTTTCTGTTGAAAATGATTTTTTCATTCATGATTTTTTAAAAAATGTTGTACCAGTTATGCTTCATGCATTTTACATCTTCATCAGGTTAATTGTACTGTCATTTCCAATAAATACATTGTTGCAATTTCCTTGGTTTATTGGTTTAATTTTGTCACTTTTTGGGAGAGAAGAGGCTCTTTGTATAGATGCTTAAACAAAATTTACATGGGTTGGATTGCTATTACTTTAAATTGAGGTACTGATAATTCTTCCTAATAGAATCAAGAACAACAAAGACAGTTTAAGAAACATTCTAAAAGTGAATTGTTACCAGTTTTCAAATACTTTATCAATAAATTGTTTCACTGATAATTAGAAAAGACAACCACACTGACAGATTTATATTCTACTCCTTTTATTTTCTAGGTCTTCCCATAGATAGCAGGAAAGATACAGCAGGTAAAAAAAAGCCACAAACATTTGCAATTGAATTTACTCCCAAATAAATTGGGGTATTTGTTGATGGATATGATATTAATATATTTACATAAAAATATATCTTTTAGAACATTCTTAAAGATGTTCATAACCCAATAAAAGAATACTATGCCTTTCTACTCAATTTAGGACTAAATATTTTTCTTTGTAGTAATGGTAATTGGACCCAGGGCCTTTCACATGATAAGAAGGTACTTTACCACTGGGCAATGCTGAGCTATTTTTACTTTTTATTTTGAGACAAGATTTTGCTAAATTACCAAGGTTGCCTCAAATTTGGGATCCTCCTTCTTTAGCTTCCTAAGTTACTAGAATAGGTGCACATTGGGACTAAAACTTTTAACTATCTTGCACTATGTTAATAAGTAGTTGAACAGTTAGAAAAGGAAGTGATATAGGCTTGATGGTATATATAAAATTCATATATAAATTTTTAATATGATGCTTATCCCTTTTTACCATAAGTGGTAGTCCACAGTGCTAGATTAGGAGTAAGAACTCTATCATCTGATAGCATGAAGCATTTTGCCCTCTAAAGGCATATTCTGATTATCTGAGACATGAGAAAAAGCAGTGCATTAAAGGTATGACATTTTTAGATCTGAGTTTTGATTTCCCTGCTGATACTGAGTCATCCAATAAATAGGTTTTTGAGCAGATTTCAAGCCGGATCCCAAGAAATATAAGGTAGAGAAGATGTAACCCTTGTCTTCATAGAGCTTGTGGCCTGTGTAGAAGGAAGGTCATAGTTAGAAAAGCAGAGTTTATACTGTAACATATGCCAAGTATACTATAGGCAGTGCCATTGCAGTCAGCCTGGACAGGCAAGGCACCAGAGAGAGTATGATAAATGTTCTGGGGAAGAGAGAATTTACCAGTCTGAAAGAGCCAACAGAAGTAGACATGGTTGTTTAAAGTGTATGTGAATGAGAAAAGATGGTCTGTAAGTCATAACTCATCGCTGAACTCTGAAGTCTGGTTAGTTTAGTGAGGAAAGTCCCATAGGTTGTGGTGGATGATGAGTCTCCTGATAGATAAGAACTCAGACATCAAAGGGCTTTGTAGATCCTGTGGAGGAATCTAGGCTGTACCTGCAAGGCAGTGGAGTCAGAGTCAGTAGTCTTAACACAACCAGGCCTGCCCCAATCCACTTGATAGATTTGGACAGAAAGTAAGCATAGGGGACTGCAACTTAGTGAATGCAATAGACATCCCAGTCAATGAATGAATAAAGTCAGCCTAGGACAGTGGTCTTTAATTAAGAGTTTTTCTCAATTTCTTCCTGTTGATAGACTCAATCACTAAAACCTGCTAATTTTGTTTGCCTACTGTGTAACCGTTTTCTACAGCCCTCAAGCAGCTACCTGAGTGCATTAAACTGAGACCATTTCTCACAGTACTAGCAGAAAACTCATTACCGCAGATAGGAATCCACTTATCTCTTCTTTTGTGAGATATATAAGCATAGAAGGTAGTGTTGGATGACTCAAAGAGGAAGCAAAGGATCTAGACTTGAGAGGGAATTAGCTGGAAGCATAGGAAGAAAGGCAAAAGAAAACATGTTATGGCTTGTGTCTAGATGTCATGCAGTCATAGGTGGGTTTTTTTCGGAGTTGCCTGAATCTAGAGCATGTGGTACTGGGATTGGTTCGTGGTGCATGCTAGAATCAAGGACCCTAGGATTAAGGGTGTGTGTGATCCTGAGTAGAGTGGGTACGATAAAGCGGGCAGAAAGACATGTTAAGGCCCCTTTGTTGCTTTTGCTACCTTCTGCTTACCATGAACTGCTTCTCGTCTGCGGTGCCTGTCTGCCATGCCACTCTGCCTTGGAGCCAGCTGGTTATAAACTGAAACCTCTACAAGCTGTATGCTAAAAAAGCCTTTCCCTCTTTAATTTTGGGTGTTGGATATTTTGTCTCAGCAACAAGACAAAAGTAGCTAAGACACTTGTTACATGGGAATTTAAAAAAAAAAAAGCGTGGTGTGCTCTAGTAAACTTTTCTCTGCAGGCTATCTAGGACATTCAATACAGTGTCAGGGTCTTGGTACTCCATGTTGTGGAATCAGATCTCCTTTGATAGGAGTTCTGTTTCAAAGTGAGTATGGCACCAAATGACATGCCCGAGGGACCCTGACAGGTAGAGATTATACCTGGGTTGTTTCATTACAGTGCCTCACCTCAGGTAAAGGAACGCTCCCAAAACATAAACTCATAATAAAGTTGATCACAGCCTAAAGTGTTTCAGAGATTATTCCTACTTCCCAGGGTCAAGTTCAACCTCTGAGATTACACATGTTATGTGTAATCCAGTTTCCAGTGCTGCTAGTCCCAGTCTGGTCCTTGGCTCAGTGGGTAATCATCATCTCCCTCCTAAATTAGTCATCCTTACACTTTGCACAGGCTGAGCCTCTGCAAGGGGCTGGAGTGCACCTTCCTACACATGCTGAGCTCACCCTGCAGGATGCCCTTGGGTCTCTGTGGTAGGACTAAACACAGGGAGTGGTGTCAGGACATTTGCAGTAGGACGTGGGAGACCTTACTGAGGTTTGAAGATCTCTATTTATCCAGATGAGGTTCTGCATATTACAGAACTAAAAGCTAGCCTCATCATTACCCTGTGAGAAAAAAAATGTTAATGGATTTTGGTAAATTAGAGGTAGACTTAATTTTATTTAGCATTTTATGTTTCTCAGTGATCTGGTATGGGTCAAACACTTTGCAAAATGTTGGGACCTCAAGTAGTTCTTCACTTGAATTCTCTTGTCAGTCTTTGTCTAGAAAATCTACCTTTTGTCATGGTTTAGATCTAAAATGGTCCCGAAGGCCCCATATGTTTGGAAAGTGATTGGATTATAGGACATTATAGCTGACTTGCTGTTAGGAGGTGGGGGCCAGTCAGGAGAAGCCAGTAATTGTTTGGGAGACCTGGGAGAGCATATCTGCCTTCCCAGATTCTTCGAGGCTCTGCTTCCTAGCTACGTGAGGTGAGCAGCTATCCTCCACCTAGCCCTGCTACCATGCTGCTTCTGCTTGGATCTAGCCAACCACACAAGTACTGAAAGTTCAAAAAATTGAGCCAAAAGAAACCTCCTTTAAGCTTTGAGCACTGAATATTGTGACTCCCGGACAAGAAAGTAACTAAGACACCTTTCTATGAAAAAAAAAAATATTGAACATACAGAATAACATGTTGTACAACATTAAAGCACACTAGTGCTCTACACTTTGTCATAGATATGGATATGATATACACTATGTGTAATTTAAATCATATAGTATACTGTAGTATATATATCATATTGAATATATAAATATAATAGAGTTGATGTAAATATAATAGAGTTGTTGCACTGAATCATCCAAAAACATTATTTACATGGACTGCTCTGGGGATGGTGCCCCCTGGAATTTTGTAGTATATGTAGCAACTGATAAACTGTATTACACACAATATAGTGTACATGCTAAACTTTTCAATAGATAATTTTTATCCCAAAGCCTCTTCAAACTGTTTACTGTTTTTTTAACCTTGTTTGTAAGAACAACTTTAAACTATTGTAGCATGATCATTTCTAGTCTTAATAAGCAGCATGTTGAAATACAGACCTTAAACAAAACTTCCTTCTCAGAGACAAAAATGAAACTCTGTGACTTGATATTTTTCCTTACCATGGTAGACAATAAACTTAGCTATGTCCTAACAAGTTCTGGTAGTGACGTCTTAAAGCCACCTGGCTTTCAATAGCCATGTCTATAATGCATAGTTATTTTATAACATATACTTTTAGTTTTTTTCTTCCTTGACTTTATATCTAATTCTATTTTCTTTCTCATTTCCTTATGCCTGCTTGTTCAGATCTCAGTAATTCTCATCATTTTTATCATAATTCATGGATCCTTCATGTAGAGTTGATGTTGACCCTCCTAGATATCAATAATATAATGCAGAAAAAAATTTATTGCCAACAACGTAATGCAGAAAAAAGTGTACTTAAACTAAGCATTTTATTTCCTATCATGCAGGTCAGGGCCATTAAGACCTCTGCACTAAAATGAAGGATCCCTGAAATCTCACAAGCAAGAGAAATAGAATTCTTTGAGATGAAATTAATAATCTTCATTATCATCTCTAAAGTCATTTTAAGCAGAGTAACCTTCTGGATCTGAAACCTTAGACTGTGATCTAATTGAATGTATTTGCATAGCTAAAGAAAGATTAGGTTAATCCAAAAAAGGGTTGGCTAGTCTTAGATAGAAAAAAGAAAATGAAGCAGGTTTTGGCAGGTCCACCTGGAGGAAACCTTTGCCAACACCCTTGGCAAGGCTGTCCTTATTGTTCAGATGAATTCAGGGAGTCATCAGAATCCACGTGTTCTGGCCCTTTCCACCAGTCTGTTCTCATTGTGAGACTGATGTGTCTTGTTGGACAGCTGCCCTAAGCATCCAAGTCATTGGGGTCCCCCTTTCTTAAAATCTGTGTCCCCAAGGCGTCCGTTTATATTTTAGCGATTCTTTTGTCATGCAAAAATGCAAGAGTAGTTACACAAATGGAAATATTCTAGTTCCTGCCACAGTTCTGTTTTTTGATATAATTAAAAACAGGATTTCAAATGTTATAATTGTGGTAAAATACATGTAACATAAAATTTT